AGCAACTTTCATAGCTGACAATGAGCTGTGGGTAGTGACTTCTTTCATGGCCTATGGTGAGTGGAGAAGGGGGTGCCTTTTTCTGACCCTCATGTTGTGTGAAATGAAATTGAAGAGCTGAAGTGTCCTTGGGGCTTTTGTTCTGACACGTGGTGTTTTGTTTCTTTGTAGGTTCTGCAAAAGATTTAATCTGTACCCATTTTACAGATGGGATGACTGAACTGGCCATTGCTTACATTCTCCAAGGTGTCTTGAAAGCACTTGACTACATCCACCATATGGGCTATGTGCATAGGTACTGAAAAACACATTGGTCATTTTCCTTCTGTGCAAGTTCTTGGAAATAAAACTCAGAGTGAGCAGAGGATGAATCAGACACAGAACAACATTGAGTTTTGTATTACTTTGCTGTTAGAGCAAATCAGTTTGATACTCATTGGAAGTGACAACATTGATCTTAGTAAGCTGCACAAAAGTGTTGTTGTGGAGCAAACTTATCCCAAAGACCACTGTGTATCTAAAATCACAATCCATAACATTTAGTCCTGCATTTCTCCTCACCACAGAAATATTCTTTCTGTACTTGCAAAGGTGATTAATAGATCAATTAATAGAATTAATTGATTTTGCCCAGCATCCAAAGATGGTTGTTAGGAGTCTCAGCCTCCTGGTAGGAAGCTGATCAGATATTGTCCTCTGCATTGAGCTGTTCAGTAAAGGCCAGGGAAGCTGAATGTTTCGTTCCTTTTTCCCCAGGAGTGTTAAAGCCAGCCACATCCTGATCTCTGTGGATGGGAAGGTGTACCTCTCTGGGCTGAGGAGTAACCTGAGCATGATCAACCATGGGCAACGACTCAAAGTTGTTCATGACTTCCCCAAATACAGCATCAAAGTGCTGCCTTGGCTCAGTCCTGAGGTTTTGCAGCAGGTGTGTTTAATGATGTGTTCTATCTGTAGAATTTTGTGATCTCTTAGGGCATGTTGGAGGAGTGTAGAATGGGAGACATGAGAGAACCTGCAGAGTTGCTTCCTTGTGATGAGCTCTAGCCCTAGCAAGGGGAAGGGTACATGAATACAAGGAAGAAGAACGGGGAGAGGCTAAAGGAAACAGATTTGGGGTGAAAGGGCAAGTGGGTAGAATTTGATCTAGTTGACTCAACAGTTAAATTGTAGGCACCTCTACAGGTTGTCTCATTAACAAAGTGTTACATCAGATGCAAGTTACCTAGGGCAGATGCCATCCCTACAGGCTGGCTGATTCCAGTTACATAAATGTTGCCCTTAACTGTGTTTTAATTAGCCAAAAAACCCTCACCACCATAAACCAGTGTATCTGTGGCTTGTGCTGTTCCTGTTCTAAACATTGGGTTTCTTGACTTGCAGTTGAAACCATGGGTATTGCCCATTCAATCACATCCAAGTCCCTGAAGCTAATTTTTCTTTTCCTTTTCATGTAGAATCTGCAGGGTTACGATGCAAAATCTGACATTTACAGTGTGGGGATAACGGCCTGTGAGCTGGCAAATGGACATGTCCCATTTAAAGACATGCCTTCCACTCAGGTAAGGTTTGCAAGCTCATTTCTCATCCTTCTTCCTGGCACCTGGAGTGTTGAAGTCGAAGGGAGACGACCCATCCTTGTTGATCAGCATCGAACTCCAATTTATTGATCTCACTTACACACTTTTATAGTGGTGTTAATTAAGCTCATCCATATTGCAAAATCCGAGCTCACCATAGGTTACAGATTAAACACTAACCCTCCTTTTGATTTCAATACCTGTGGTTTGTTATTGAATCCAAGATTTGTGTTCTCACCCTGACATGAAAGGTTCTCAAAACCTCCATGTCTGTTCCCAAAACAGCCAAGGACAGAATGTTTACCTGTTATGAGAAGACTGCCTGAGAACTTAGCTGTTTACAGAAACAGGCTGTGAGAATTTGCTCCTCACAGCTGCCTTTGACTTTTCCATCAGCTGTATATGATTATGGCATGTCTGAACAAAACTCTGTAAGCCATTTCTGAGCAAAATTCTCCAACACTGGAGCTGCTTCCCTGCTCTGAGGCGTGAGCACAGAAGGGTGTCCTGCCCACATGAATGGGAAACCTTAACTGTGCTGTTGCTTGTGCCCCACCTGCTGTTGCAGATGCTGTTGGAGAAGCTGAATGGAACCGTTCCCTGCCTGCTGGACACCACCACCATTCCTGCAGACGAGCTGACCATGAAGACGTCGCGCTCCAGCGCCAACTACGGCGTGGGGGAGAGCACGGCCGTGAGCAACGCGCGCGCGGCCAACGGCGAGCCGGCCCTGCACCCCTACCTCCGCACCTTCTCCACCTACTTCCACAACTTCGTGGAGCAGTGCCTCCAGAGGAACCCTGATTTCAGGTAAAGCCCTGTGAGAGCTGCTCTCCCCACCTGTGCTGTTCTAGGGCTGGGTGAACTCAGGGAGTTGGCAGATATTGTTTACGGTTTTCTTTCCAAAAGTGGAGTGGAGTGAGGACGTGCCCCGTCTGTTGGGGAGAGCAGTCCAAGTGTGTAGAATGAGCAGTGGTAACACTTTGAGCACTTCCTGTATGAGAGCCTGAGGAATTCCTTTGCAGCCTTCCTTGGGGGATGAGTGGTGCTGCACATCAGGAAAATAAACTTCTGTTTCTGGCCCCTGTGGGACAGTGTTTACCCAGTTCCCATCACTGCAAATGGCTGCTCTTCAGCCAGCAGAGAGCAATGATGGGAAGTGATCAAAGCTGCATTTTTCTTTGTAGTGAGGGCAGTCTGTAGCCGTGACAGACTTTTCAGATGTGCCCCACTGCTCAGGTGGTCCTTGGCCAGGTGTAGGGGGTGCAAGTAGGTAATTTAAAGGTTAAAAGAAGGAGGTTGAAGTCCTTACATAAAATATTACATGATTGTAAATGCTTACTAGTGCTGAAAACAGGGAGATACCTGACAGCTGAGAAATGGGAGAGGCAGGAAGGACCCTGCTCTTTTCTTATTCCCACTACCTGACTTCAAGCACTGACTCGTGTTCTTGTCTTCTTCCCTTTCTTCCTCCCTCCCACAGGCCAAGCGCAGGCACTCTGCTCAGTCACCCCTTTTTTAAGCAGGTAAGGAACTAATTTAGCTACAGGTAAATGCTTGGCTTTGTCTTGCTGTGAGGGTGGGGATGTTGAGTTGCTGAATTTTCTGTGATCGGGAAGATTAAGTCAGTTTTCTGACTATTTGTAGTGCAGGGTGGGGATTGTCACATCTGGGGAGGTGCTTAGGCTGTTCTTGAGGCATCTCTTATCTAACAGAGGTTCTAAATCTGCCTCTTTTGGGAGCCACAACAGCTCTTCCCCTGCAGGCTGCTGAGTTCTGGGGCGAGGCAGTTCCAACCTGCTCCTTAAGGAGTCCAAAGGGTGCCCTGTGCATTTCCTGTTGTTTCTGCCTGCAGAGCTGGGTGTGCAGCAGCACCCGAGCATTCCTGTGTCCCATTCTGTCCTTCCTGTGCAGATCAAGCGCCGCGCTTCTGAAGCACTCCCTGAGCTCCTGCGCCCTGTCACCCCCATCACCAATTTGGAAGGGACACTGCCCCAGGATCCCAGTGGCATTTTTGGGTTGGTATCAAATCTGGAGCAGCTGGATGTGGATGACTGGGAATTCTAGAAAAATAGGGACTACACTGAGGAGGAGCTCTCTGGACATTGTAATTTATTGGTCCTGTTCATAAAAGCTGATGAATATTACACACAGAGGAGTTTACAGGTCCTTGGGAAGGAACTTCAACTGCCTGTTTACTTAAGAAGTAGCCTGGATACAAATGGACAGACCTGAGCTGAAAAAGGATCAACCCAAGGAGCTGTGGAATATTCCAGAAGGTGCAGTGCCCAGGGCCCCCATTCTTCCAGCTGAGCTCTGGTAGAGCATTTGAGGGTGTTGAGTGAGTCTGTGTAGTTATGGTCTCTATTTATGTGTTTCTAACAATCACTGGCTTCCTCACAGTTGAGGCTGCATGTCCCTGCCCTCTTTGGTTCTTTCTCTTTTAAGGGTGCCTTAGAGTTGAGGGGAGGTGGGCAGCTTTTAGTTTTGGGCATTCTCTTAGAACTAGTCAAGTTCCTGTAACAGTGTTGTCACAGGGCAAGTTTTAATGGGGCAAAAAAGGGATTATATTCTTAGTTACTGCTTTGTGATGGAAAATGGGAGATCAAAGACAAGCTGATGCCATTCCAGGCACTCCTGCTGCACTGGGCATTCCTTTGCAGCACTGGATCCTTCCAGTCTGGAGAGGGCTTTTGATGCTGAGCACTCTGAACTCTGGGTCAGACAGGGCCTTCCAGCCTCCCCTTCCAGCTTCCTGGGTCACCAGAGCAGTGTGGATGCCTGGGCAATGTACCAGCTTTTTTATCCCCTTCCAGTTGAACTTGATGTTAGCTGGGCTGGTTTCACAGCACGAAACACTCTTACCTGCCTGTTCTCAGTGACTTACCCTGGCACAGAGGAGAAGTGAATTGATTGTCATGCTGATCCTCTTGCTCACAACTCCTGTACAGAACTGAACTTTAACCTCTCCATTACCATTGCTGTTCTGCCTTCCCTCACTGACAGGTGAAAGCTGCTCACGTGGCTCCCTGTGATTCATGGCTGTGTGACTCTGCCCTGCTGCTGTGGCAGCTCTCCCCCAGTCCGTGGTGTTTGGTTTGTTTGGAGGTGTATTTAAGGCTTTTAGTTTGACTTTTTTTCCAAGGACCATGGTGCTGAAGGTCATCTGCTCTTTACTGAAGCACTGAGAATCCTTGTATAGGTGCAGTTGATGGGAGTAGTGGTGCTGGCAACAGGTCCTTCTTGTGTTTATAAATTGTACTTGAACCCAGATAAAGTTTGTTACTCTAGTTTTTTTTTCCAAAAGAAATAAAATATTTCTGAAGTTGTTTTTTAAGTCTGCTGTTTGTGCAGGATGATGGAGTGAATCACAGAGGGTGACAGGCTGGCTGTGCATGCTTGCTTTTACCTTAGTTTGATACAACTCACCAGTTTATGGCAGCTGCCTCATGCTTCAGAAACATTTCAACTAAAGCAACAAGCTGCACACACCTGCACTTGCTCTTTTCTGAAAGTTTCACTAAAATTCTCCCAGTTACAGGAATATTTGTTAAGGCCAGGCCCAGTTCTACTTCCTCCCTTTGATCAGGTTTGGCTCCTGATTTCATCTTACTGTTAGTAAGAAGATAATGATTTCCTGGCTTGTTAGGAAGTCTTACAAACAGGGCTTTATTAAGTTATGTACAAAATGTATTCTGCTACTGTGGATCCCCTTCTTGGTCTGACTGTTGCTCCTCTTCTTCCTCCCCTTTGTGTTTTTCCAGTTTTGCCATGAGCTCTGAAAAACAGAACAGGCAGGATGAGGTTCCAGGTGCAGGGGCTGCCCCAGAGCCAGGGGTCCAGGTGCTGTGAACACCCAGGACCAGGGCAGCTCCCAAAAATCCCTCGTGCAGAGGCTCAGCTTGGAGCCACCTCTGCTGGCTGAGTCGAGGCAGGAGCTGTTGCAGTCATCCCCTCAGTGCTGTACTGACCACACAAGCTGCTGCCTCTGCTCTCCAGGTTCCCCACCTGGGCGAGCACAGATGCTCAGGTTGCATCCATGATTCAATATTTCCTGACACAAACTCTGAACTGCAGCTCAGGGCCAGGCCCAGCACCAGGAAGGAGCTGCTGCCTTTGGTGCTCAGGTGCTCCCCCAAAGCCCCCCAATACCTTTGGCAGGGTTGAAGACCCCGTTGGTTTGCTTGTCGCAGACGTAGCAGCGCTGGGATTTGCGGTAGTGCTGCAGGGCACAGCTCTCACAGAAGTAGTGCCGACACCTGTACGGACACAGAGAGGTCACTGCAAGTCCCCAGCCACAGCCACTGTGTCCTGGAGTCAGAAACTGCTCACTGCTGGCCACAGGAACATCAAGGCTGAGAATGACCTCCAGCATTGAGTCCAGCCTTTGCCCAAACACCACCTTGTCACCCAAACCAGGGCACTGAGTGCCATGTCCAGTTGTTCCTTGTTCCCCAGGGATGGGGGCTCCACCAGCTCTCTGGGCAGCCCCTTCCCCTGCCTGACAGCTCTCTCCATGGTCCCCAAGGGAGGCAAAAGTGAGCTGCAGGCATCCCTGTCCCCATGGAAGGTGTTTCAGCATTGCTTCATTGGTGTGCAGGGACAGCACAGAGCCACCAGTGAGCTCTTCCAGACACAGGACAGTGTTCAGAGTGAGAAAGGGCTGTCTTCAGCTTCCTCCTCATCCTCACCAAGCTCCTGGCTTCCCCATGCTCACATTTCTCTGCTCAGGCAGTGCAGCTGCCATTCAGTGTCCAGGAGGAATGATGGCATGAAAACAAAATCTCAGGGTTAAGGGTGAAAGATGAGGCACTGAAGCAGCATTTGTGGAAATCTAAAAAGTGCTTGAGTAAGAGCTTGAGATCCCTTCCAAGGGGATGCTCCAGATGCAGCTGTGAGACTCCCTGGCTCTCTCAGGATTCCCCCACCCACCAGAAAACCAGGGCAGACAACAAGCAGGTTCCACCCACGGCCTGTGGGCTGGGTTTGTCTTTGCCTCAATAGTGAATGAATGATTCCTGAGCTGCTTTGACAGCACACGTGGCTGCTGGTGCCAAACAACCACTTACTTGGTGACCACAGGGTTCTTGAAGGAACCTCTGCAGATGAAGCATTTGAAAGGCATGTCCTCCTCATCACTGCTCACCTCGTAGTTCTCATCATCTGCAGAAGAGAAAGTGAACCAGAGTGGAGAAGAAGCCAGCCCAGCCAATGTGGGCACAAAATAATAAATAAGGGGAGAGCATAGCAGGTGGGATTCCATCTCTGCTGGAAACAATGGAGCTCTGGCATCTGGGTGTTGCTGATGTCAGTAACACGTGTGGGACTCTGCTATAATTAGGGCTAATGAGCCAGCAGGCCTGTTGCTCATGTCAGGAGAAAATTCTTTTCTACTTCACCCACTTACTGCTATAAAGAGAAACATCCTCCAGCCCCCTCCTGTTTTTTAGACTATCTTCCAAACCAGCTGCCACCAAGTTCTGGCTCCAGCTGAGCAGAGAACAGCCCCCATTTGCACAGCAGCACTCGTGAGCCCTGAGTGACAAATGACATCCCACCTCCTGGGCATCAGGGGGACAGACAGTCCCATCTCCCAGCTCCACACAGCAGTGCTCTGCTTCCCAGAGAGCCAGGGGCTGTCTGAAAGCAGCAGCTCAGTTCAGCAGTGTCAGTGCTGCTGCCCCCAGCTGATCCTGCAGCAGGAGCTGCACAGTTTTGAGCAGTGCCCTGAGGGCACGGGGGCCGTACCGTTGACGCCGTAGCGGCCCTCGTCCAGCTCCCGTTCGATCTGCCAGCCGTGCTTGTAGTCCGAGCGGTCGTGCAGGAACTTGCAGCTGTCTGAGCAGCACAAAGAGGAAGTAAGAGACAGGCTGCAAGGGCAGAGTGTTACTAGGATATCTAATTCCAGGGCAGCCTGAGCTCTGCCCAGCAGGAGAAATCTGACTGCTCCTTGTCCAGGGCAGCACTAAGCTGCTGGAGCAGGTACAGGATCCCTCAGTGCTGACGGGCTGTGCGTGTCATCCTCTCTGTGCCACAGGGACGGTTCCAGCAGTTATGCACATGGGAAGTGGGATAAGGAACAGGAAAACCCATCCCTCACACGGTGCACACAATACCTGTAAGAATATGGGTCACTGGAACATCCCAGAGGTCCATTCCAGGATCCTATAACCACTAATTAGAAGCCCTGGACTTTCAGAAGGGATGGCACGAATGACAGCATTACACAAACAGCTCTGCACAGAAGGGTCTGTGGCTCAGCACCCCAAACACGGGGTCACAGCTGGACTGGATGCCCTGGCACGCCTGGTGCTCAGCTGCAGCACGGGGCACTCACCCCCGAAGCCGCAGAAGCCGGTCTCTTTGTAGTCCTTGCAGATGTCGGGCTGGTAGTCCCAGCGCACCGTGGCCCGCAGGTGCTCCGGAGCACGGATGGGGCCTTTCCTGAAGGGGGAAAAGAGGCTCAGCCCCCTGCAAAGTGGCCCTGGAGCAGGGCCCTGGCCAGGACCACACACCACACGGGTCAGGCAGAAACTGGCAGTGAGAGCAGAGTTCCAGCCCCAAACGCTGCCTTTGGGATGGTGCCTCAGCTCCTCTGTGGTCACAGACCCCGAGGCTCGTCCCAACCCACCTCACCATTCCTGAGGAGGCATTTCCCATCGATGTGTCCTTGGGCTTCACATACTTCTGGTAGTTGTTAATGCCACGGTAAATTTTATCATCCTCCTTTCCTCTCAGCTCCTAGGAGAGCAAGAAGAGATGATTAAGGATCAGGAGAGCTTCATGACATGAATTAATTGCCACCGCTCTGACACCAGTCTTCCTTCCCTTCCTTAACACCAAGATGCCAATAAAGGCACAAAATTCCCTATTTGCAAAGGTTACACTCCTGAACTTCTAGGGAAGATGAGACTCTAACTCTTCTAGGTGTGCAGAAGGGGATGAGCAAAGCACAGGCTCTCTTGCTGCAGAGCAGGAGCTCCTGAGGAACAGGGCTGACTCACCTCCTGGATCTTCTGGCTGCGCTCAAAGATGGCCTGAGCATCCTTCTCCTTCTCTGTGTCCAGTTCATACACTGCTGTGGCTCCCATGTCTTCTGGGCCAACAGGTTTCTGAAAAGCAAGGAAACTTGTAGCAAGAGTGGAGGGAACACCTGGACAAGACAGAGAGCTCCTGTCTACCTGGAGGGTTGTCACAGAGCAAACACTGGACACATCTGCTTTATCCCTTGGCATTTGCTAGGGAGAATTCACCACAGGCTCCAGCCAAAGATGGTCTAATGCTGAAAACACAAACCCAACAGCTGAGCAAACCTGATCCAACTGCTCCCTCTCCTGAAAAATCTCTGCAGTGTTGGGAAAGTCCAGTGGCATCCTGGACTTTTAACTCCCACCTCTAAAAGGGAAATACCAACCTTTGATGGCCACCCATGGAGGGAGGGACTATCAGAGTAAACCCAGCACAAGGTGCTTGGCTATTAAGAGGGGACAGGGAGGTGCACTGATCAGAAAGAATGTCTCATTCCATGTTTGGAGTGGCAGATTCTGTCTGTGAGGAGTGGGATCCCCAGCCCCACTGAGCTGACACTCCAGCGCCCCTGCTGCCTGTCCTTACCGCCGACCTGGTGGATTTGTAGGTCACCCCGATCTCCTTGGCAGGATCCTCATCCTCGCTGCTGCTCGGTGCGTAGTCCGGCCTCTCCCTCGTGCAGCGCCTGGTCTGGGGGGAAGGAAAGGCTCCAGCGCCGTCCTGGCCGAGCCTGGCAGGCCCCGCAGGTAGCCCTGGGTGGAGCAGGAGCCCCCTCGGAGCTCCCTTACCTTCTGGATCATGGGGTTGGGGGTGTCCCGCCGCCGCTCCTTGCGCACCACGGTGCTGCCCTCCTCCCCGCTGCTCTCTGCGGGGAAAGCCGAGCGTGAGGGGACAGCCCGGGCCTGAGGCAGCCCCGGCCCCGGCGGGCTGGGGACACCCACGGAGACCCAGCAATGCCACCCTGGCAGCGCTCCCGAGCTCCGGGGGCCTCGGGGCCGCGACCGTTCCCTGGGAGCCTGGGCAGTGTCCCACCGCCTTCCAGGGGAAGAACCTTCTCCAAATACCCAACCTAAATCCCTGTGACACAACTGCAGGGGTCCCTCACGCCCTCGGGCTGGGGAGGGCGGCCAAGCCCCCCTGCGGGCAGCGCTGGGGGCTCCACCAGGCCCTCCCTCGCCTCCCGCCGCACCGCACCGCCCCGGCTCCCCCCGCAGCCCGGGTCCCCCAGCCCTCACCCCGCTCCTGGTCGCTGCCGGGCCGTTTTCGCCGGCCGCTGCCCGCGGCCCGGACCCGCTTCTTGAACACAAAGCTGCAGACGCCGCTCTCCTCCGCCATCCTGTGCCGCCGAGACTGCGGTGCTGCACAGAGCGGCGCCGGAGCGGCCGGCGCGGGTGGCGCCCCCTGCGGGCGCGGAGGACTCAGCGCCCCGGGCGGGGCCGGGGGTCCCGGGGGGCTGCTCCGGACCCTGAGCCCAGCTTTGAGCCCAGCTTTGAGCCCGGACCTGATCCCAGCTCTGAGTCCCGCTCTCTGCACAGCCCCTGCTCTCTTTACAGCCCCTTCTCTCTGCAGTGTGACAGCTCCACCGCTGGCTCACATCTGGAGTGCAATTCCTCATTTATTTGCACTCGATGGCAGCGAGCCTCTTCAGCACAGATGCTCTTTGGGCAACGCAGAGTGACAGAGGTGGTAAATCACATCACTACTGTCTCCTTGTCCAGTAATCACTCCCATTAATTCCTCAGTTGTGATTCTTGTACAGGGAATCACAGGCAAACTGCACACAGAACTGCAGCTAGGCTCAGGCTTTGGGCCACCTCCAGCCAGTGTTTGGCTCTTTCCAGTGGCACCACACTGTGTTCAGGAGCCAAACAAGAATATTTGTTCCAGCACCATCATTTTCAAAGATATTCCCATCACTCCATTGTATATTTTCCTCCATTTATGGCCCACGGGAGGGCTTTGAGAGCTTAAGGTAAAGTCCTCAGAGCTACAGGTTATTGCTGCCTCTCTCCTGACCCATGGCCATTCTGGCTTCCTCAGATGGCATAAAACCACCTCCATGTTTTAACTGTTAATATTTATATTAATTTCTGATGTTTTGCCCTGTTTGTGGGGAAATCCCAGCCCTCCAAACGCCATGGGAAGATGCCTTTATAGTCCAGGCAGTGCTTTTGCTCAGCTCACAGGACCCTGCTCCAGCAGATCCACCACTCCCACACTCGGCTCATCAGCTCTCCGTGGAACAAATCCTGGGTTTCTGAAACCACCACAGATCAGTTTTACCCCCCTGGAGGGTGAGAAGTGGGGAGCACTGGAATCCTCCTTTCCTGCTGCTGCCTGATAAGATCCTTCCTATGCAAGCAGTGAGCTGAGGTGTGGGAAATGTGGCTTTTGCAGATGCTGCAGGGATGGATCCTTTGGGATGCTCCAGGATCTGTTACTGGGGTCAGGATGGATCCTTTGGGATGACACGGGATCCCTTAGCGGGGTCAGGATGGATCCTTTGGGATGCTCCAGGATCCCTTAGCAGGGTCAGGATGGATCCTTTGGGATGACACATGACACGGGATCCCTTAGCGGGGTCAGGATGGATCCTTTGGGATGCTCCAGGATCTGTTACTGGGGTCAGGATGGATCCTTTGGGATGACACGGGATCCCTTAGCGGGGTCAGGATGGATCCTTTGGGATGCTCCAGGATCCCTTAGCGGGGTCAGGATGGATCTTTTGGGATGCTCCAGGATCCCTTACGGGGTCAGGATGGATCCTTTGGAATGCTCCAGGATCCCTTAGCGGGGTCAGGATGGATCCTTTGGGATGCTCCAGGATCCCTTAGCGGGGTCAGGATGGATCCTTTGGAATGCTCCAGGATCCCTTAGTGGGGTCAGGATGGATCCTTTGGGATGCTCCAGGATCCCTTAGCGGGGTCAGGATGGATCCTTTGGGATGCTCCAGGATCCCTTAGCAGGGTCAGGATGGATCCTTTGGGATGACACGGGATCCCTTACCGGAGTGGGTGAGTGCCACGCGGAGAGAGCCCAAGGCGGTGTCCAAAGCTTGGGGCGAAGCCAATCTGCACACGCAGCTCATGGGAGAGAGGCTGGAGGAGCTAATTAGCGGGGGGGTAATTGCGCCCCGTGCCAGAGAGCGGAAGGGTCGCCCCGGGGCCGGCGCTGTGGGATCGGGGAGGCTGCAGAGGAGCAGGGAGACAGAGCTGGGAGCCGGGGGAGCGGGGAAGGTTCGGGGTTAGAGGTTGGCTCCACACAAAGGAGCGAGCGGCTGGAAGCCGGTTCGACGCCGAGAGCCAATCGCTGCTGCGGCCCCGCGATAAAAGGGCTCGGAGCCGGCGCGGGGAGCGCAGGAAGCGGCTCCGCTGCACGGCCGCGGCCTCTGCGGCGGGACACGGGCGGCAGAGCCCCGGGCACGGCACAGCACGGTACAGCCCAGCCCCGGGCACGGCACGGCTCCAGGCACGGCACGGCCCCGCCCTGCGGACCCTCCTGCTCGGCGGTGAGCTCGGCTCGGGGGCGGCGGGAGGCGACGGCGGCGAGACAATGCCGGCCCCGGCAGCGGGGCTGAGGGGCTCGCCTGCACCGGGGGTCCCGGTTCCCCAGCACGCCGGGCTGGGGAAGCCGGGGCAGGCGGGGATGGGGAGGAGCGGGGATGGAGAGGAGCGGGGAGAGCCCCGGGGAGCGGCTGCGCTGCTCAGGAGCCGCCCCGCACTCGGGATCGCCCCCAGCCCCGCTGCACCGGCAGCTGCTCGGCCTCGGGGGCGGGAGGAGGTTCGGGCTCGGAACGGGGCACAGCAGAGCCTCGGAGCTGGCCGGGGATCGGGGCCGGGGATCGGGGCTGAGGACCGGAGCCAGCGCCCCGTGCCCGCGGAGCCCCGCAGAGGGGCCGGTAGCCGTGAGGCGAGCAGGCCCGTGCTGGCCGGTCCGCTCCGGGGGTGCATTTGGGGGCGCATTTCGGGGCTCATGTTCCCGTTCGAGCTGTAGTCCTCTCTTTGTTGTGTGCTGCAGTACATGCCGGAGGGCGGCTGGACAGATCCGTTTTATTAAGCTGCTCGGAAAGAGCAGAGATGGAAGAAAAACCTGTTAGATCCCAACTCCCTTATCCCTCTCGGTTAACGCCTGCCAGTTCCCGATGTGTGTCTCCTGCCGCCTCATCCAGGCTGCGTTCAAACCTTTCCAGCGACAGGTCTTTCATCACTTCCCTGGGGAGGCTGTTGCATGACTGTGAGATTTAATAACAACACAAATGCCCTGCGTTCTGACATAACCCTGAACAGCCAGGGATCTCCCAGGGCTCCACAAAGGAGAGCAGCTCCGTGTCCGTCGAGGGGAGGGGGAAAAAAAGGGAACAGAAAAAATGGAATTATTTATCCACTGCCGCCCAAAATTAGCAGCAGATTTAGGAATCAAGCCCAGGTCTCCTAAGTCCCAGTCTGGTGCTGTAACTACTGTGTTTTGAGCCAGCCTGATCTGTCTAATCCCCTTGGATCACTTCAAACAAGCTAAGATACCTTGTAGATCATATTTATGATCAATTTTCTGCTGGTTTTTTTCATGGTGTGGGCATCAGTTTTGAAAAAAAAGCTGATAATCCAGCCTTGAAAATTGGGCTTTGTCCACCAAAGGCGTCGTGTGAGGGCTCTCACAGGGAAGACATCTGGTGCCTCAGCTGAGCTGTTGTGTGTTTAAGGCCAGGAGTAGCACATCTGCAGCATTATTAATGTCGATTACAAAATAATTGCAGGGCAATCGACCAAGCTTAGTCTGACACAGCCCCAGTGTTAATGTCCTTTTTAAATGGGAGTCCTACGAGAAGCAAATTCCCAGTTCCAAACTGAGGATCTGTCAGAACCAACCTCTTGGGCTTTGCAAAGTGGTGGAGGCATCTTCATTCTTAAACAGCTTAAATCCAGGTTCCTGACCTTTTTTGGGCAGCAAAAATCCCAGGAGGCTTCTCATTAGGGAAGGGAATTTCTCTTCTGGTTTCCTTCAGTGGGTAATTCCTGAGAGTCTTCAATTGCCCCTCTGGTCCTGGAGGGTGATGAAATTTTTCTTTTCCTTTTCTCCCACCCTCAGCTCTTGCAGGGTTTTGCCAGGCAGCTGCCATGTCCCCACCAAGACATGTCTGCTTTTCTCTGCCAGTTAAGTCATTTTTATCTGCCATCTGGGGGTGTTGCAGTGCTTACCTCGCTCTTCGCAAAAGCCCTGGGATGGAAAACATTAAATCTGGACAAAAGGATTATTGCAATATCAATGTTAAGCACACTTTAGACATATTTCTCACTCCTGTGGTGTGCCCATAACCCTCTCCATATGTCCAGCTCGGGGTTTTCAGTGGCAAGATCCCTCAGCATCCTCTGATGTGCCTCTCCAGGGATTACTTTTCTTGGCACACTCATTGCTCCACTGCAATCTTGTGGATTTCAGAGAGCCTGATCCTATCCTGGGCTCTATGGCACCTTGGATCCTAAAAGGAAGGAGAGAGATGAAGGCTGAAAATAGCTGAGACAGCTCAAAAAGAATGATATTTGGAGAGATTTAACTACCAATATAATTTTGGTAATGTTTTCTTCTTATACAATCTGCATTTGGACAGCAAACAGCAGTTTTTGTAGGGTTTGTGTGGAGGCAGGGACCATGGAAAGGGGTTGTGCTGTGTTTTGGATTGCCTGGAACTGGACCCACTCCTGCTCTTGCTGCATCTGAAGCAGCAAAAGCTTTTTGTGGGGTCTCTGGGGGCCCAAGAGATGGGCTCACCCCATGGAATCAGAGAATCCTTCAGGCTGGAAAAGCTCTCTAAATCATACTGTCCAACCACTCCCACAGCACTGCCAAGGCCGTTGCTAACCATGTCCCCAAGTGCCACCTCCCCATGGCCTTAAACCCCTCCAGGGATGGAAACCACCACAGGAAATGCCAGTGCAGAGTCTGTGAGTAACAGGTGATATTCCAGGAGAGGAAATCAGCCAAGGTTGTGTTGGAGTAAGGAGGAAATTACAGGCAATTACAGCTCCATTAACTGGAGCACAAGGAAAGGTTGGTTTCTAGACCAGGTTCTGGGAGAGTAATCAGATGTGCTGTTGGGAAGCAGAACAAAATTCTGGGTGGTTTTAACACAGGTTGTGTCAGGCTGGCTCAATGTCTTCCTTGGATATGGTAAATGGCTTCTGAAACAACAGGGCCCCAAGGAAATTATTATTTTGGGTGGAGACAGGGAAAAGAGAGCAAAATGCAAGGAAGACACTTGGATTCTTCTGCAAGGAGGGATGTAAGGACAGAGGTTTTCAGGGCGGCTGGAGTTTTGTGTCAGAATACCAAGGTCTGAGATCTCTCAGATCAGAGCTCACCTGTTTGCATCAGGCCACCACAGTGGCTGTGGCCACAGAGAGCCCATCAGGTGAGAACAGCTCAAAAGGAATCTGCTTCTCCTGCCTCTCCGAGGTGCCTCGCCGTGCTCTGGGGTCATTTCACATCCTTGGAGGATGGAGGAGGAAGGGGCCCGGATCCCCCAGGCCGTGCTTTGCCTTTGGGGAAGCCTCCTGCGATGGAGCAGCGATGCTTGCAGTAAACAAACCCTTCCCTGGGCTGCTAATGGGAACCATCTGGCAGAGAGGGGCCCCTCGCCCTCTGCACTCGTGTTCCTTCCCTGCCATAACCCACCGGGCCGGGAACTGCTGGGTCTGCACTGGGAACGGGCCGGGTCAGCATCGGGAACGGGCCAGGCCTGCACCGGGAATGGGCTGGGAACGGGCCGGGTCAGCACCGGGATCCAGCCCTGCCGGGCCTGCACCGGGAACGGGCTGGGAACAGGCCGGGTCAGCACCGGGATCCAGCCCTGCCGGGTCAGCATCGGGAACGGGCCAGGCCTGCACCGGGAATGGGCTGGGAACGGGCCGGGTCAGCACCGGGATCCAGCCCTGCCGGCTCTGCACCGGGAATGGGCTGGGAACGGGCCGGGTCAGCACCGGGATCCAGCCCTGCCGGGTCAGCATCGGGAACGGGCCAGGCCTGCACCGGGAATGGGCTAGGAACGGGCCGGGTCAGCACCGGGATCCAGCCCTGCCGGGCCTGCACCGGGAATGGGCCGGGCCTGCACCGGGAACCGGCCAGGCCTGCACCAGGAACGCACCGGGAACGGGCCGGGTCAGCACTGGATCTACACCGGGATCCAGCCCTGCCGGCCCCTCTGGAGAAGGGAACGGGGAAATGCTCCCTGCACCCTCCTGGCTGCAGGAAACCCGATCCTTCAGAGGCAGGCTGAGCTTGGGGACTGCCCCGGGGCCACCCCAGATGTTCCCTCTCCCTCCATCTGCCCCAGGGTCAGGCAGGAAGGGGAGAGGGGATGCAGGAGGCTGGAGGGGAAAAGCTCTGTGATGGAGCAGCGTTGTTTTCCTCCCCTGAAACTCCTCCCTGCTTGGAGCCGTCAGTTGGTACAAGGAGCAGGATGAGAGAGGCTGGAAGGCAAAGGGGTTCTCAGCTTGTCCTGAGCCAAAAACCTGAAACTGCTGGCATGATCTGGAGAGGAGGACAGTCCTCACTCCTGCTCTTCCCAGGCTGTGCACCTGGCTAAGGACTTTAGGGAGCAGAGGTTTGGGACAGTCAGATCTGGCCACACGTGCTCACTGCACCCTCAAATCCAGCGAGCCCCGAGGCTCCCTGAGCCCTTGTGAAGGCTTTGTAGCATCAGTGTGGCAGCGTGTCCTCAGGCTGTGCCCGTGTCACCACATTTCCCCTCTCCTGGAGGCTGCCTTGGGCCCCAGCCCCAAGCTGTGCTCCTGGGAAGAGCCATGACAGCAGCCAAGAGCCTCCAAGAGTCACTCTTGCAGTTTCTCACTTGTTCTGGTTCCCTTATCGCCCCAGCACACCCTTCCCCTTTGAGATTTCTGCTCTTGCCTCCTGCCCTGCAGCAGGAAGGAGCTGTGAAGGCTGAAGCTGCAGCGAGGGGCTGGCTGGAAGCACCAGAGGGTCTGTGCAAGGTGGGCAGAGGGGCTGGGTGGGAAACATCCCTCCATGGGGGGGATAAGTGGGTGGAATTGAAGGGAAAGGGGTTTGGGGACATGAGAGGCAAAGAAACAAAGAGTGGGTGGAAATAAAAATGGGTTTATCGGAGAACCCCTGAATGGTTTGTGTTGGGGGGACCTTAAAGCTCATTTTGTCCCACCCTGTGCCATGGGCAGGGACCTTCCACTGGAGCAGCTGCTGGGGTGTGGGGAGTCTGGAAATACCCAGGGAGAGAAGGTGGCTGGGGCAGGGGAGGAAGATGAGCTGCGAGGGAAAGGAAGCTGGGGGAGGACAAATATTTGTGAGAAAGGCTGGGGTGAAGGTGAAAATCAGGTGAAAAGGGGAGGGTTGTGTGTGTGTGTCAGGGGTGTGTGTGGAGTGGGGACACCACGTTTTCGGGGCCCCTCATGTTCCCTGCAGGGGCTGTGCTGGGCTGCAGGACCCGACAGACCCCAGAGGCACAAGGAGAAGGTGCTGCCCCAGGAATGGGGGCAGGGAGGGGCTCTGGGGGTGGCCCCCAGCAGATGCTGGGCTCAGCAGCAGCAGCAGCTGCCTGAGAGCAAGCTCGGAGAGCAGGAAATAACAACCAAACCGCAGCGAGACGGGAAATGATGCTGATAGAGCCGGGCTGGGCCTCAGCCGGGGCTGGGAAACCTTTGCAAGCAGGGCTGAGAGGGGCACCCACCAATGCCCAGGACCTGGGGAAATGCTCTTTTCAACTCTGACAGCAGCCATGAATTTTAGGTGCTTTGCTGATGTGACTCAAGCCTGCTGTCAGCTGCTGGGGGTTTGGCAGCCAAAGAGCCCCCTAAAGCTCAGGACGTGTTTGCCAATGTCCCTGTGAGGTGGGCATTGAGGAGATGCCCCTGCCCCAAGCCCTCCACCCTGACCTGGCTCTGCCCTGGGGTTTTCTCAGTGTCTAGCCCAGTCCTTGGGCAGCAGGAAGGTTTTTGGGGTGGCAATATGAGGCCAAGGGGTTCAGTAGGGCAGGAAAGCAGCCCCAGGCAGAGGCAGGTGCTGGTTTTCCATCTAACTCATCCCCATCATTGCAGAGCCACCCCTTCCCCCTGCTTTTCTCTGCTCTGCTCCTCCCTGGGCAGCACCACTCAGCCCCACAGCTCTGTCCTCTGTATTCAAACCAGGGCTCATCTTTCACGGGTGTTTTGAGGGTAAAGTGCAGTGGGGAAAACCCCTGAGGAGCTGTCAGTGCCTTTTTAGCTCTTTTATTACCAAAAGGGGTGATTTGCAATGCTGGTGTGTTTTTCCTGTGCTGGTCCCAGCCCTGTCAGCCTCATCCTCCTGGGCACATCACAAGGGCTCAGCCTGAAGGCACCAAAGACAAAATCCCCATCAGTGGCTCTGCTGAGCTGGGATCAGCAAGACTTTTCTGGGCTAAAATTAGACTAAAACCACAGTTCTTCCTCCAGCAGCACCATTCCTTGAGTGAAACATCAGTGAAACGGGGTGCTGGTTTTGTTGCCTTGGTTTGGGGCCGAGTGCTTCCACCTGTGGGTTTGAAGTAGGATCCATCCCATCACCTTCCAGGTGTTCAGAGCCCCAAACCCTCCTGCTGCTGTCCCAGTGTTCCAGAGCTGCATCTCCCATCCAGTTCCCTGTGCTTCAATCTCTGGGAAGGGCTGATCTGAGCCTGGAGGGAGCTTCGAGCACACCCCAGCTCCTGCAGGACTGCTGGAGTTGGTGATGAAACCAGCCCCACTCCTGATGACATTTCCTTTCCAGGTGATGCAAGAGCTCTGTCTTTGTCACCTCTGCAGGGAACCTCGACCCACAGCCTTCAAGCTGAGGATTAAACAGAGGGAGAAGGGGAAGGAGCCATGTTCCAGGCCACGGGAGCAGCCAGCCCAGCCCCAGCCCATGTACGTGGGGTTTGTACCCTGGGGTTTGTGTGGGAATTTCAGCTGGGTTTGGGTTCTCAGGGGGGAGGGTTGTACACAGAAGCTGTGTTCCTGACCTGACATTTCAGGGTGATCAAAGGCACGGCCACAGCTACTCAGAGAGCAGAACTGGGGACAGGAATGTTCCAGCAGAAGGTGCTGTTTGCTGAGCACGCCGGACGCCAGCCTCAGGCTCTGCTCCATCCCCAGCTCCTGGAGCTGCTGTCTGTCTGTTTGTTTGTGTTTCCATGGCTTTCCGTGATCACAATTGAGAGCTTTCGAGCTGGAGTGATTGGAGATGGAAAAACATCAAGGTTCAAGAACATCTCCTGCTGGGACAGGATACGGCCCTTCCCCGAGGGAAGATCTATCAGATATGGAGTGGAGAGCGTGCCTGGCTGGCCAGGAGCTGCCGAGAAGTGACAGCAGCCCTGGGCTGCTGCAGCCTTGGGAACGGATGTCTCAGCTCCAGAGAGGCAGCTTTTCCTCAGCCCTGCTCAGCTGAGCCTGGAAACAGCACATTAAACCCTAACCCCAGGAGAGCAGCTGTGCTTGTTCTCTCAGTGCCAAGGGATGCAACTGGTTTTACACAGCCTGAGCCTCCCCTGCCCATGGCCCACTGTTGACTTTGGCTCCTGCTTCCAGCCTCGTGGGACTGGGAGGAAAATCACAAAATCGTGTCCCTGACCTCAGGCAGTGAGAGCAGCTGGGAAACCTCTGAGGAGGCAGCTCAGAGGCGAGGGGAGAGCTTCCTGTGCCTCCCTTGGACAAACTGTTTCCAAAAATACAAAGGAGAAGCGATGGGGAAGGACAGGGCAGGAGGAGGGGATCAGCCTGGGGCAGAGAGGGGCAGTGCTGGGCTGGCAGAGCCAAACTGGGTGACATCCTGGGGGTTGTCCTGGGGTCACACTGCCCTGACCTTGGGGACAAGGCATGAGGGGATGAGCCAGCCCTGACTGGTCACCTCGCTGGAGTGCCCTTGGATCCCGACTTTGGGAAGGAGGGAGCACTTCCACCAGTGCCCAGGAGGGTGGAACTCCTGGGGTGGCTGTCAGGGACCCAGCAGCTGTGGGGTGGGGGCAGGATGTGCACTGGTGAGGGGAGATTTGGAAGGGATGAGCTGTTGCAGCTGCAGGGACACAATGCAGAGACACCCTGCCCTGAAACCTGGGGCACAGGTAGAGGCTGCTCAGCGCTTTGGGCTGTGCCCTGATGCTGCAGGGCTGAGCAGCACCTGCCCCAAAAATCACACGGAGCTCTGCCCTGTGCCCTCCCCAAACCCCCAGGCACTGAACTGTGCCTCAGTTTCCTGCACAGCCCCACTGTGAGGGCTGAAGGGGAAAAGAGGAACTGGAAACAAAACCTCAGCCCCAAGAGGCTCTGGGACAGCGAGGGGCACCCAGCTATGCCCAGGGGGAACAGGCCAGTGCCCCCTGAGCCTGGGCATTGCCCCCTGAGCCCTGTGCACCTCCTGCAAGAGGAGTTAATTACCCCCTCCAAGGGGCAGGAGCAGAGCTGCTGTGTGGAGCTGCATGGGCCACAGGTGCTGGTTTACAGATGCAGGCACAGAGGGGTTTGATCAGGGTCTGGTGCCAAGCTCTCATTTTGCTTTCTCCTTCCCTTTTTAGGAGGCCAAAAGCAGCTCAGGAGGCAGCACAGTGCAGCGCTCCAAGGTACCTTTGCTTTTTCTACACCATAAATCATGCCAGAATGGTCTGGGGTGGAATGGACCTCAGAGCCCGCCCAGTGCCGTGGCAGGGACACCTCCCACTGTCCCAGGCTGCTCCAAGCCCTGTCCAGCCTGGCCTTGGGCACTGCCAGGGATCCAGGGCAGCCACAGCTGCTCTGTGCCATCCTGCTGGTTCTTGGCAAGGCTGGAAGGGCCAAAAGCCCCCGGGCCAAGCTCCCACCCAGCCCAGCAGCAGTGGAGTGGCCCAGGGAGGGTGAGGGAGATGGGGCTGCCTCTGCTCCCCAGGGCTCTGGTGAATGGAGGGCAGTGGAGGGTTCCAGGTTGTCCCAAACTCCTTCCTCATCCTCTGTCTCCCTGTGCTCTGCCCTTGGCCAGTCCTTCAGCCTGAAGGCGCAGGTGAAGGAGATGTGCACTGCCTGCCAGAAAACCGTGTACCCCATGGAGCGCCTGGTGGCCGACAAATTCGTCTTCCACAACTCCTGCTTCTGCTGCAAGCACTGCCACACCAAGCTCAGGTGAGCCAGGCTGTCCCTGTGGTGGGACAGGAGCCACTGCAGCTCTGCTGAGACCCTCCCAAATAGTTCTCCTCCATCACAGCCCCTTGTTTGGCCTGGAGCCAAAGCCCCCCAGCCCACCCACCACAGCAAAGGTTCATCTGCACACCTGGGCCCAGCTAAACCCTGCCTGGTATGGAAGGAGAGATGTTCCCCATGAGAGCAGCCCCAGGAGAGCTGAAGGAGCCAGAGCCTCCTTCCAGAGGACTCAGAGCCGAGCTGAGCTCCCCTGGGACCCCCCATTTCTACTCACAGCAGCCCCCAACAGCCTCTGCTGGTGGGAGGGAGCTGTTGGCCCTAAGGGTCCCCTCGTGCACGTTGTCCCCTCTGCTGTCCGGGTGTCCCCAAGCCCCCCCAGTGTCCCTGCCTGGCTAACCCTGCCCTCCCTCCCCAGCCTGGGCAGCTACGCCGCGCTCCACGGGGAGTTCTACTGCAAGCCCCACTTCCAGCAGCTCTTCAAGAGTAAAGGCAACTACGACGAAGGCTTCGGGCGCAGGCAGCACAAGGAGCTGTGGGTGCACAAGGAGGTGGAGAGCGGCACCAAGTCGGCGTGAGCGGGGCCAGCCCCGCCCCGGAGCCCCGCGGAGCCGGGGCAGCTGAGCCGGGAGAACTGAGCTGATGTAGAGCAGGACCTGGGCCCGGGCAGAGGGGGAGCCCCTCTCTGGGGGTGCTCAGAGGGGTCCTGCAGGCTGTGAGGACAGGGCAGGGGTGAGCAGGGTGCAGCCCCCAGACCTGGAGCCCTCCCTCTGCCCAGTGAGATCAGAGCAGGAGCAGTGCCCCCCATGGGATCCCAGTGAGATCAGAGCAGGAGCAGTGCCCCCCATGGGACCCCCAGTGAGATCAGAGCAGGAGCAAAGCCCCCCCAAGGGATCCCAGTGAGATCAGAGCAGGAGCAAAGCCCCCCCATGGGATCCCAGTGAGATCAGAGCAGGAGCAAAGCCCCCCATGGGCCCCCCAGCCCTGTTGATCCATGTCAGCCCTGTCACCATGGAAAAGGGATGAGCTGGGGGCTTCTCCAGCTTGAGCCACTGCGGAGCTCCCAGCCACACCAGCCCTGCCCTGCTGGGGCTCTGCATGAGGAGGGTCCCTGGTTTACATCAGCTCAGTTCAGCTGGGATGGTTCAGCCTTAAGGTTTCACAGTGTCTGTTTTTTATATTTGCCTTCCACTGGTACGTTCTGCGCTGGAGCCTCGCGGCAGCTTCGCCTGCGCGCCTTTATTTTTGTAATACAAGGTTTCCCAGCCTTCCCTGTCCTGTCCTGTGTTCCCAGGGGCCTGGGGAGGGGTCAGGTCTGCCTCTTACTGCCCAGGCAGTGTGCAAAGAGCTTGTGTCCTTGTGGGATCAGGGAAATATTCCCTAATAGGAATATTTCCCTGTCTAGGGAATAGGACACATAGCCTATTCCCTGGATACCTGAGTGTGAGTGAGGCTGGAGGGGAAGGGGAGGCAGGGAAGGGAAAGAGGCAGCCCTGCCTTCTTTGGGGAGTGCTCAGAGGGGTCCTGCACACCAGGAGGACAAGGCAGAGGTGACCAGGGTGCAGGCCCCTGACCAGAATCCCCCCTGGAGCCCCCAAGATTTCAAATTCCACATCAGTGTTGCCCTGCGAGCTGCACAGCCCAGCTGGAACCTTCCACCAGCTTCCAAATGGAGCCCAGGCCACCCTCAAGAAGCATTCACCAGCCTGGGGATCCCCCAGGACCGGATCCACCCCTTTGCCCTGATGTGTCTCACTCTCTCCCTGTGCTCTGCCAGGGGCAGGATGGGATCAGTGCTGGGATGGCCTCACAGGTCTGCCCTGAACCCACCCCACATCCAATCTCCTGGTTTGGATTGCACAGTCCCTACAAATTAATGAGCCCAGCAAGCCCTGCCAGGCTGGAGACACAAATGCAGGAAAACCAGAGAAAGGGGATGAGTCAAGTTTTAATTATTATTTACCTCTTTCCTCCAGGCACACTTTGTACAGCTGTGCTCAGGAACCCCAATTTGTCTTTCAAATTCTACAGGAATTGGGCTTTTCAGAGCCCCCACACAGAGCAGCAGCCTTGATATCAACATCCCTGACTGATCCCATCAGCTCTGCTGAGCACATCCTGTCTGGGAGAAGCCACACACAGCCATGGAAACAGGAGATAAGGATGAGAGAGGGAGGAAGATGAGGATGGGTAGTCCAGAGGAGGAAGAGACGGCACAAATAGCCCCTGGTCCCTGTGCTGCTCCCCCTGCTCAGTACAGCAGCTCCACAGTGACACAGGTGACATCTGATTTTGGGGACAGCACTGGCTGAGTGACCACAGGAGCCTGATGTTGGACAAGTTCACTCTCCTTTCCACTAAAGGTCTGTTCAAAGGGCTCCTGGGACACACAGCCACCACAGGGACTGTGCACACAGACCCTGCCAAGGCTCTCAGGAGGCTTTTGGGATTTACACCCCAGAAAAGCCACCCCTGAGCAGCCCTGCCAAGGGGCTGTGATGCTGCAGGCTCGGGGCCCCTTCCCTGGCCCCTTCCTCCTTCAGAAGGCTCAGAAAATGAAAGCAGAGCCCTCAGTTCCACTTCCTGCCTCTGGCTGGCCTCACTTCCCATCCCCTCAGCTCCCAGGCTGCTGACGAGCAGCATTTTAACAGTGCAGGAGGATTTCAGGGGGCTAGGGAAGCATGGAGCCCCCAGGTTTTTAAAGTTGGGTTTTCAGTTAGAAAGAGAACATTAAGCCAGAGAAATAACGATCTTTGCTTGCCTCCTCCTCCCTCTTTGGGAAGAATCTCCTCAAAGTGAAGATAACAGAGAGCTCCCAAGTTGCTCCTTTGGCAAAGGCAGGAGCTGTGGGCTCTGACACACAGGGGGGTGTCAGGTTGGTTCTGGTTCCAGGAGACATTTCTGGTCTGAGACAACTGCACCTGATGGGTGTCATCTGTGCTGGCACAGCCCCAAGGGTCACACCTGTGCTTGGTTCATGGGCAGGGTTTCTGCTGTATCAGCTGGTTCCTCCCCTTCTGATCTGTTCACGTTCTACACTGACAAATATTCCAGTGTTACATCCCAGGAAAAGGTGACTGGAAGCTGCTTGTGGTGAGGGCTGGGGAGGCCAGCTGCTCCTCAAGGGACAGAGTGGCACCCAAACACTGATTAGGTGACAGTGACACTGAAGAGAGAAGCTGCATGAACAGGAGAAAATCAGCCTTTCAGCAAGGAGAACAGGTGAATTTTATAGCAGCACTATTCTGGTTTGTTCCTAACACAGCAAGCTGTAAAAAAAAATCAGATCTGGAAGTATTTGGAGATGTGGTTACCCATTCTCCTGCCCTACTCAGGGACAGCAAATTCTCTCCAATTCACTGCTACAGTCAGTGCAAGACATCCAGATTCCTCCACTTCAGCTGGAAGGGAGCTCATAATATCATCCATTTGTCTGAAACACAGAGGCTTTCCTTCTCCAAATTTTCACTTTTTAAAAGGACAGTGACCAAATCAGGCTTTCATATAAATGATAATTTTATTGTAAATAAAATGATACATTGGCCTGGCTTTGCACTGCAAGCCCCCGGTCGGTAAATAGAGACTACAGGGTCAAGGTCTTCTGCACAATCCAGGTTAAAGCCCTTTCTCCCTGCTTTGCATCATTTATGGTGATGATAAAATCCTTTTCTTCCTTTTTCAACTGCTCCTGGCACACCTGCCTTTTCCCTCCTGGTCAGTCTGTGTTGGTAACTGGTGCCAATGGCAACTCTTTGGAGCAGCTTCCAGTCCTTTGGAATATTATTCCAAAATAGGCAAAAAAACCCCACCCCAAAACCCCATCCAAATTGATGCAAGCTAACTGCCACAGAATGGGCAAAGATGGGATTTTCTGGAGAACAAGCAAATAACCTGGAATGCACAGAATCGTCACACCAAGACCAAAATGTCACTGCTTTGTTTCCTCACTGCCTCAGGGACAGCCACATTCCCCCAAGCTCCTCTCCAATGGGAATCTTGGACATTTTTCTGATTAGTTTTAAATGTTTCAGGACATTGGGACTCTGATAAGAAATTCTTTGTCAAATATTCTCCATTTCTGCAGCACTTTCCATCAGGGACCCCAATACTCAATATTCCCTATATATCCCTCCCTGGAAGGAACAGCAGGAAATCCAACATGACATTTAGAATTGACACAATAGCTTACTGTCAGCCTGGCACTCCTCCTCTACTCTTCCCTAAATGAGTTTATTCCCAGTTTTTTCCTAGTCTGCCAGGATAAAGAGGCCAGATATAATTCAATTCTGAGGTATAATTACATTTCTGTCCACTTGAAACTCTTTTGCTGCCACAGCTGTTAAAAGCCTCTGGTATCAAGGTCAGCCCCAAGTTATTAATCAGAGCAGTGGACTCAGGAATCCAGATCTTCCTTTTCCACAATCAAGAGGGCTTTGAGGAAACAAAGAGGCATTTTGGCTCAGCTCTACTCATTATAAACCATCAGCAAATTCTCTGCAAAACCAGCTGCTTTTTTTCCTTTTTAAATTCATAAAGGCGTCAAATTTATTTCCCCACCTCCCCCCCCCCAACCCCATAACAGTCGATATATATAAAAATCACCAAATATGATCTTTTACGATATAAATTAAAAAAGAAAACAACCAAAAAAAAAAAATAAAATGAGGCATCACCGTTTACATGATGTAAAAAGAGCTAAAAAAGAGCGATATAAACTACATTCATAAAAGTGCATCTCCAAACATAACAGGCAATGCTTTGGCTTGTTCCTGTGCCGAACGCGCCAGTCCGAGCTGGCCCCGTGTTCTCTGTCACTGTACAGGGGGTGCTGCTCCCTCTCCCTGCCAGCCTGGCCGCAGGGTTGGGCACGGAGGAGGCACAGCCAGCCCAGGGAAGGGCTCTGAGCCCTGGGGACAGCACTGAGCCACCGTCAGTCCTGGCTGCTCCTGCTCCTGCTCCTGCTCTGCTCTGCTCTGGAAGCGCCTCCCGGCATGCGGGTGAGGTAAAAGCCACGACAGCTCCTGAGGATTGAGGTGCTTGGACAGAAGTTCTGCCCTTCCCTCACGCCCTGCTCTCTCCCAGATCGCAGCGCGTGGGAACAGCAAGAGGAAAAACCAAGGGAGAGGGTCTGGGTTTGGTGAGGACAAGCCAAGGACGGAGGGATGCAGATGTCACGGTGCTCCCGATTCCTGCAGGTGATGGGCAGGGCATGAAGACTCCAATCTTTGGTATATTTAGGATGCAAGGCTTGAAGAGCTGGTGCTGATCCCCCTCCTTCTGTCATGCAGACTCCAGGGATGGTCCCACACTCCCAGCAGAGTGGTGGGAAAGCTCCCCAGCTCCGAGCTGCAGTGTCACAGCCTCACCTCCCCTCATGGCAACACTGAAGTGCGGGCCAGAAGTCAGGCCAAGGGCCTGGACAACCTGGAGTCAAGTTCCTGGTTGGGAAAAGATCAGTTGAAGTGCTCTCACTGTAATTAAATAAATTATGGAACAAGGGCTTTCATGAAAGGGATCCCCTAAGTGCCCACAAGTGGGACAGTGCATCCTTGGAGTAGTGCAGGGAGCCTGGAAAGGAAACCAACACCAGTTTTTATTGGCTACACTTTGCTCTGGGTTTGGCACAGAAAAAACATTTCATATCGTTAAAGCTTTTCAGGACTTTTGGTTGGTTGGGGCTTTTAGGGTTCTTTTTTCCCTCTTTTAATTCAACACAGTATTTTTCATGTGTTGAAGGAGCTTGGTTTCATTAAAACTTGCCTTCTCCTGCTATTAGTATTCACTTAAAAACTTAATTTTACTGCATTATGAAGCAATTTTCAATTTTTTATGGGGGAGAAGAGTGGAGGTGTGTGGAACCTTAATATGGTTTCCAATACAAGAGCAGAACACCTTCAGTGTTGCCCTGTAAAGCAATATTTTAGTTAATTAACATTTGCTTTTCTTAGTTTCATTTCTCAGAGATAACTCAGAATCACTCCATGAATCCCCAGCACTTAAAACCTGCTGGTCTTTCATGAGTGAAATAATGATTAATTAGTGCCCAAATCAGCACAGAGGATTTGAGGCCATCAGGACCTCAGTCCTCTGACCTGTGCTGTGTTCCAAGTGCACAATCACTTGGATTTGCTTTGCTGGTACCTGCATGGGGATCTCCAGGTAATTTTAGATATTTGCTACCATTTTAAATGTTGTCTGAAGGTTCTCTGTTTGACTCGAGTCCTACAAAAGCTTATTTAAGTTAGGCCATAACATTTTTATGGCACTTGCACACCTGTAATTCAAACAATGCACAGCAAGGCTGAGCTTGATTCCAGCTCCCTGTGCACAACACAAGTGTCCAGGTAATTCTCCCCAAGAAACCCTCAATTTTCCATTTTCCATGTGCTCAAAGAAACTCTGAAGTAATTTCCTGGGTACCAGACTGACTATCTTTGGTTAAAAGGATGGTAAACAGTTACCAGCCAAAGAGACAGATGCAGGAGGAAGCTGAATTCCACTGAATTCCCTTCCAGAGGGGTTTTGTTTGGACCCAGCAGCCCCAGAGAGAGGAAGCAGGAGCACAGATTTGTTTGGTATGACACAAACTAAGTGGCACTGTCTGAATGCTGGGACAGATCAAACCTAGCTCCAGATTTTCCAAAGTTAATGGGAGAGCCCTTCCCTCAGGCCCTGGAGTGATTGCATTCTGCTGAAACTTGTCTGATTATCCTGACATTTAGCTGGAAAGAACTCCCTCACCCCCAGCCCCAAATCCATGGGTTCATTATAAAATAACACTATTCACATACTTTTGAATCAATATCTTCTGAACACCTTCAGATGCTGAATACTCAAGAAGAAAAATATACCATACTATAGTGGGCATGACACATGGCTTTTTGCTGGATTCAGGTACTGGAGACACCTGTGGAGCCCCAGGAGAGAAAAACCAGGGACTCCACAGGCAGAGCTGGTCTGGAGGCTGGTGCATGTTTCTGTTTTGGCCAGAGTGGAGCTCTTCCAGCTCCCACTTGGGTTCAGGTTTCTCCTATGTTCAACCAGAGATGACACTTGTCAGATTCCCCTTCCTGCAGAAAACACGCAGCCAGCTGCAAGGTCACATCCAGGTAACAAAATCTGGGGCAAAAATGCAGCTCTGCTTGGACAGCTGTCGGCAGGATGAGCATTAATCCAGCACAAGAAGGAATCAGGCACGAGAGCAGACCCAAAGTTCCTTGGCAGAACTTCCCAAAGGACTAGGCCTAGCTGAGCTGGCATTCTGAAGATGCAGCACCACACAAGGGGCAACTGGACAAGACAGGGCACGGCGAGCCCGGCAGGAGCTGCGAGCGAGGGAGGTAATTCAGTACTGGAGCTGTGCAAACTGGTGTCTGAGCAGCTCTTCAGCAGAGGGTCTGTGCCTGGCTTCCACAAAGATCTGCTTTAGGAAGTCCCGGCAATGTTCTGATATGTGGGAGGGCAGCTGGGGGTTGGTGGGCTGCGTGGCGATTTTGAAGATGGCTGCCATGGCCTCGTACTCTGCCCAGGGGGGCTTCTCTGTCAGCATCTCCACCACGGTGCAGCCCAGGCTCCTGCAAAGCAGACAGGAAAAACCAAATGAGAATCCACTCAGTGATGCCCAGTGCTCAGAGCCAGAGCTGCCAACAGCTGCTTTCCCTGTGCCAGGAAAGTGCCATGTGTCCTCTCCCCTTTGCTCAAATCCTCCTCTCAGGAAGCATTTGTGCTAATAGGGAACAAGAGGTGCAAGTGGGACATCCCTGAAGGCACCATCTGACCTTGCTGGTCCTCCAGGTGCTGCTGCTTCTGTTGTACCTCAAAGGCACTTGGAGAATCACAGAGTCACAGCATGGGTTGGATTGGAAAGGACCCTCAAGACCATCCTGTTCCAACGCCCTGTTCCAACCACCTTCCACTAGAGCAGGCTGCTCAGAGGCTCAACTTGCTGAGCTGCAAGGTAGAACTTTGCAGTTCTTCTTAACAGACTTTTTAACACTCAAGGTTCAGTGAATCAGAGCTTGCTGACCCCACAAAGCCATTTCAGCAAAATCCCTTCTCAGTCACAGCCTCAAAATGCCCACGTTGGGAAAAAAAAAATAACCTAATAATATCTCCACAAGAAACCAAGCATCACTCAAAAAATAACTGAAGTCGTAACAGTTCCAAAGTGGGAAGGCAGAAAGTTAAACCTCTGTGGGACAGATGCATCATTACCTTAAGGAAAAATTCCTTGTAAAGTTAATGGGGCTCTGCAGGCTACTTCAGGGCAAGGACGTGATTCTGGGGACATGGCTGAGCCACCTTTCTGAGGCAAGGTGACTCCAACACCTTCCAGGGAAGATGGCTGCTGTAGCACTGCACTGACTGGGGTTTATTCAAAAAGGATTAATTGCTTCCTCCAGGCCGCAGATTAAGTAAAAGCCATTAGTGAGTTTTTAATATCCAATCCTGTGGTTTTATCACATCTTTACATTAAAAAGGTAAAACTGCCTCCTCTACCTTAAAACTAAACCTTCTTTTGAGGTGAAATGCAAGGAAAAGGATGTTGAGAGGCAGACTTGCATCAACTGCCAAGATAAGGAGGAAAGGAATTAAATGCAGTGAATATGCAAGAACTGATTTCTCGACAAGGTTTAAAATCCAACGTGAAAATTTTACAGTTTTCCAGCCATTTCAGGCTTACTAGAAGAGAGTACAGAAAATGCAAACCATGTGTGCTGAAGTGCTGGGGGTTTGCTCAAAAGCAAGCAGGGATATATTATTGTTTAGACTGATTTATACCGTTTAAGCAGATCCGGTTTCTTTAAGATATTCAGCAAACAGCAGGAATGTTTTTCATGTCAAGTCACTCCAGCAATAACAAATAGCTCACATATTCTGCTATTTAGGAAAAAGAAAACTGGAGAGGGGCCTGCAGCAGTGGCACAGAGCCAGGTGGATGGATGTGTTACGTTTCTGAGCCTCTGGGCCATACACATCCACCCTGGGAGCAGCACTGCACTGGAAAATTGTGACCCCCCCAAAATAATGATTGGGATTGTAGGAACTGGAGTCTGGCCAACGGCAGCGACTCTTTGATGGGAATGGACCAATGTCAGCACCAAGAGGAAATCCACAACTGCACCAGCCCAGGGGGAAGGGCACGTGCTCCACTCTCTCCCCAGCCATCCCAACTGGGAGAGTCTGCAGGACTTAACTCTTTGCCGACAAGACAAGTTTCAGCTGTGTTTCCACTTGCTGCTTGTACAGGAAACAGGTCCTGCTTGGCTGTGGAGGCACAACCAGACCTTTTGTCCCTGTTGTTTACTTAAGGTTTATAATCTCACCTTTTTAAGGCCCCCAAAATTAACATTTTGGCACAGGACCATTTTGCTCTTTTGAGAGAGGCTGCTCCTTGGCTATGCCAATAATAGCACAGCTACGGTTTCCATTCATGCAGATCACCTCTGATCTGATCTGGATCTTTTCTGTTATTCCAGGTTTGAACATCTTTCCTTTAAGGCTAAAATTCTATCAATCTCCAGTACATTTTAAGCATAATTCTCATTATATATCTAAATGAATGGGCTTTCCCTAGACAACTTTCAGTTGTTCTTCTAAGGGATATCATAGAATCAGAGTCTCCTGTGTTGGAAGGGACCCACAAGGATCATCATCCCATTTCCTGGCTCTGCATAGGACAACCCAAGAATTCCACCAAGTGTCTGAGAGCATGACAAGGATGAAAACATTGCACCAGCCAGAAAGCAAAAACACAGCTATCAGTTTGAGTGAGGAATGAGTGGAAAAACGAAATGAGTTGTTGGGTGTTAACACCGCAAAGCACAGCTGGCAGAAGATTATTGAATTCAAACCAGCGAATTCAATTTTCTTTTAACTTCTCATCCAGACAAGGTGTGAAGCTGGATGCTCAGATGGCAGAGGGTGCTGTGTGTGCAGAGATCTGAGCGCAGCAAGGAGAGGCTCACCACACGTCTGCCTTCCTGCCGTAGCCCTCGCCGCTGATCACCTCCGGGCTCATCCAGTACGGGGTGCCCGTGACGGAGCGGATGCCGGTCCCCGACATGCAGATTGTCTGCAGCCTCTTGCTGGCCCCAAAGTCCCCGAGCTTCACGTTCCCAGCAGAGTCACGGAGAATATTGGCACCTGGACAGAAGGAAAAAAACACCAGGACAGCTGTTTTCATGAGATCCAGCTGTTGGATCTGCAGCCTACAGAATGATAGCCAAGCACAAATACCCGTGCTCATGGTATGGCTCTTTCCCCATTAAGCCTCAGGTGACCTGCTAAACATCATTTCTTTAATTCAGGTTGTAGACAAGCCAATTGCTAATGGCTGTAAATGGGAAAAACTTCAGGGAAAAGCACAAGGAAGTGAAGGGGGGGAGGGAAATGAGAGCTGAGTCAGCACCAGCATTGTTACAGTGCCTGTAAACAGCTCAACCAGCCTAGCAGGGCCCCCAGGCCAAGGGCTGAGGGAGAACAGAGCTGTGTAGAGAAGGATTTTATTGGGATGCTGCTTTGTGAGTGCAAGCATTGCTTTCTGGTCAGCTGGGCAACAGATGTAGCTAATTAAACCCCTTTGAACTCCTACAATAAACAAGTCAATCTCCACTTGGTCCTGAACATGAAACACCACGGAAAAAGCAAACTTTAGAGCTTAGCTTTTATGCGGACACAAACTGAGGTTTAGACACCAAAACCAATTCTTCCTCCAAAACTGCAACGAAATCAAGAACCCCCCTGTTACCATTATCTGGAACATGCCCACATGAAACCCTTTTGCTCTTGTGCTGGAGAGCTCTCCTGGCCTGGCCCTGCTCTCACCCTTGATGTCCCTGTGCACGATCATGTTGCTGTGCAGGTACGAGACGCCCTCGAGGATCTGCCGCGTGTATTTGCGCGTCACGTTCTCCGTCAGGGCCCCGTACGCCTTCAGCTGGTCCTTCACTGACCCCTGCCACAAAGCAAAGGGAAAGAATTGGCAAAGAGGGGGCAAAGCACAGACCCTGCAGTGTCCAGTCAGCTCCCAAAAGCCCTGGGTGTTACAGCTGGCCCTGCAGTGAACTCTGCCCTCTGCTAAAGCCTTTCTATGAGCATCTCACCCTAAGAAGCCTTTTTAAGAACAGCAAGGCTTCATGGCAAAAACAGCCTAAGGAGGTTCTGTCTACTGGTACAACTTGTTGTGAAGACAAGCAATAAAACAGTTCAGCAGACTTATCTGGGTCAAAAGCCTTGCTTTTGGAGAGTCAGTTTTAGCCTCGCTGTACCATGATTCTGCTAATTCAGTTACCAGGATTTACATGCTGGCCCAAGTCCTTTGGGGCACTTTGGTAGAACAAATTTAGATTGAAGAAAAGAACTGTCCTTAATGACTGTCACAGAGAATGTATTTCAAGTAGAAGACAGTTAAGGAAAAAACTCAAGAGGTTATTTGGGCATAAATAAAATGAAAGTGGTGGCATTATGAGTGTGAGCAGGCACAGCCCTAAGAGGTTCTGAGGCAGATGACATAGGGGGATCACAGCAACTAATAAACCAGCTAACAAACCCAGCCACCTCCCTTCTGACCCCTGACTGTGCTGCTCTTACCCCTGGCATGTACTCCATGAAGATGGTCAAGGTCTTCTCTGCTCGATCCCTTAAGCAGCCGTAATACTGCACAATACGGTCGTGCTGGAGATTCTTCAGCAGCTGAATTTCACACTCCAGAGCACTCACCTCCTGTGGATGGAGGTGAAAATAACATTGCAGCCTCAGGAAATATAGAATAAATATAAAAAATAGTAAATTTGTCATGTCACTGGCAGGATGAGACCACTACTACACTGAGAAGTGTAATCCATGACAACGCTTTAACTGCTCCTTGGAGAAGGCAAACATTACCAGGGCTTCCTGTTCATTTTTACTGCATTATCTGCAGGTATTGGTGTGGAAGCTTTGCTAGAACACAGGCTGTATCATACATGGATTTAGTACCACAAAAACTTTGTTTCTTGCCTTGATTCTGTCATCTGCATGGTGGCTGAAAGGATTCTCCACCCACAACACAGGTAAAACCTCACTTCTCTCACTAAGCTGTGGGCAGGGAGTGTAATTATGAAGCAGCTCTGAAAACAGTTACAGAACTGGAACTTCAACCCACTGGAGAGCAAAACAACAGGTGCTGAGAGCTGCTAAGTTTCTGTCAGCCAGTCCTGTTCTGATCACACTGATGATTTACTGGAATCAAGCCCTACAAACAGCTTCCTCTCCTATTTACTTCAAAGAATCTGCAGCTCTGCACATGAAACTGATCCTTTGCTTTGCTCTTGCCACAGACAACAAGGTATCACAGTGCAAAGATGTTATCCAACAATTTCAGATGGAATCACAAATGTTTGCTGCTCAGAAAAAGTATCAGGTTCTTGCTGAATCCAGGGATTGAACGGGAGGAACATCAAAGGTACTGAAGCGTGAGGATTTATGGAACAATGTTTTATTCCCAAATTAGTCCCATTTTTACCTTTCCAGCCCTGCCATGGGAAGGTATCAGGTTCAGCTCTCTCACTCTGGGAGAGGATGCAGAATCTTAGAGCAAGAACCTGGGTGTTGTAGGCACACATAGAACCAGTGGAAGTTGCTTAATCAGACCAAAAAATAGTGTAAGGTTTGGAGTTTCAGTGCCTTCAAAATATATTTCAGCCTGTTCCTCCTTGGCTCAGAGTTACTGTCTGATTTACAACACAGACATAGTAGAACTTCCCAATTTAGGACATATCTTGGCACCAATATCCCATATAAAATCAGAATAATTAAATCTTCATGGATCAGTTATTCTAGCTCAAAGTGAATTTGTTCAATATTGGGAAACTAGTACACTGTTAAAACACCAGCAAAGAACCCAAAAGCCATTCCAGCTGCATCCCCTGTGCAGGAAGTTGAGTGCTGTCCCCTAATTTCAAGGTGCCTGTCCCATCTCCAGTGTTGCCACATCACTGTTCTTGATTCATTTACACCCCACAGCTCCATTTGTTTTTAAGGACACAGAGAATTCAGAAGTGAAAATTGGTAATTAATGCACTTCATACAGGGTGCACCATATAAACCCAGAAGTGGGTTTTGCATGTGCAAGCAGCTTTTTTTGTTCAAAAAAGAAAAAAAACCTACTCTTGCTGGATTTAGTTTCATTCACATCCATGTCTAACCAGGAACACAGGGCAGTCTAGTATTCCTCAAGCAACCTGGCAAAAACCCAAAAAGCTGAGAAAGCAGAGCCAAGAATGAAGCAAGAAAATGGATTTTAGTTTCAAGCTGAAGTTAACAACACAGAACAGTCATTTTTAAATGACTCCTATTCTCCTCCACATGACTCGAAACCTTCGTACGAACTAAATAAGATGCCAGCTTTCAAGGACAGACAGAGAGACACATTGTGCAGGACCTCAGAGGGTTTGAGGAGCTGAGCTGAGAATTACCTTGCTTGTTTCGGGGCTCTCTGGATCAAACTGGACCTGCTTGGCTGCCAGCTCTCTGCCCGTGTCCACGTCGTAGCACAGGTACACGCGGCCGAAGGCGCCCTGGCCCAGCAGCTTCCCCCGGCGCCAGTTCATGGGAGCACTGGGAGCTAAAAGGGAACAGCAGTCATTTCTCCTTTCATTGCACTCTTTAAAAAAAAAAAAATGGGCTTTTCAAGGACCAATCTCTGTTATACAGGACTGAAGCAGGTATTCTGTAGGTGAATAAACATGAGGTGCTCTCCCAGGGTAAGGAGTCAGTTGTCGCAGACAACTTTTGTGAAAAATCCTTTCCTTAATAAGCCTCAGGAACAGAATGTAAACAATGGTTATCTGCTGCTGTGGAATGCAACAGGTAGATCTTTGATTGGCCCATCTTAGATGTTTATAATTAATGGCCAATCACAGCCCAGCTGGCTTGGAGAGAGTCCGAGAGAGCTGCCTTTGTTATCATTCTTTCCTTTCTATTCTTAGCTTAGCTAGACTTCTGATGAAACCTTTTCTTCTATTCTTTTAGTGTAGTTTTAACGTAATATGTATAATAAAATAATAAATCAAACCTTCTGTAACATGGGGTCAGACCTCCATCTCCTCCCTCATCCAAAAACCCCCTGTGAACACCATCACAGTCAGTGGCAGAGCTCTGAACAGAACCCAACCATCCAGACTCTCAAGGATCTGCTGACTGATGTCCCATTAAAATGACACCACAAAACATTTTGCAAATGTGTTTTACAGACCAGTTATTCAATGGGGTTGGTGAAATTTCATTCCACCAGCAGGTGGATTCTACAACATCATTACTTTAAGAGATGATGCAGCAACTAAAGAGCAGCTTCCAACCCTTGATCTGCAGTTATCACATGCATCAGATGAAGAAGAGCTGGATTAGCCTTGCTAAATCAATCCAGCCAGCTCGGAATGACTTAAGCTTCTGGGACAACTTGAAGGACATTATTCTGAGTTTCTTTGCCAAGCTAGTTTGGGGTTAACCTCTGTGGGAAGGATTTTACTGCAAGGCTCTCTCTAACCATAAAGATTAGAAGTCATGATTACCTACTAGACATGGATAAAGTAGGGACTGTGTTAGCACAGTGTGGGTATCTTTACCTACTGAACAGTTAATAAAAATACCCATGAGACCCAGGTAAAGCAGCATCACCAACAGCCCAGCAGGAATTTCCATCCTCAGGGCACTGGGAATTCTCACATTCATAAGCAGCAGTCTCTCCTGACCCAGAGATTAATACCTGAGCCCAGTTTTTCAGACTGCCCTTAATCCCAAAGCATATTACTCAAAGACAAGTGCTCTAGCTCCAACTTTGAAAGCAACCCTACCAGACTCCTGCAGTTCAATGCATCCAATTATGGTGGATCCAACAAGAAACTCTAAAAACAAAGACAAGAACCAGCCATCTGAACAGTGTGAAAATACAGAAGAGCTGAGAGATTTGCTTTGACATGTCTAATTTAATCAGATTTACTGCCAGGCAGTCTTTTAGTGTGTTCTTTACTCTTCATTTTCATCCTTAAATTCCTGTATGGGATATACAAAGTTCTTCAATAATGACTTATGTTCCACTTATTTTTTATTTTTATAATAGAAAGCTGTCCAACAAAACAGCTCAAGGATGCCATTAATACAGAAATAAATCCTTCCACTAAGGAGCAAATGAAATACATACAGAATAACTGTAACCCTGACTGAAAATGTTAACATAGCAAGAAAATAAACAAGCTTGTCTGCCTGTTTTAAGAACCCTGTAGATCATCTAGATCAAGCAAATTTTTACTTCTTAGCTGAATTTGCAATGCCTTCCAAAGGAAAGAAGAAGAAATCTGAGAAGAAAAACACTGGTCTTGTGGGTGTGACAAACAAGTTTCAAAGCATAGCCAGGGCATGAGTGTGACAGTGTTCACAGGGGTCTGAGGATGAGGGAAGAGATGAGGATCTAACTCTATGTTTCAGAAGGCTTGATTTATTATTTTATGATATACATTATATTTAAACTATACTAAAAGAATAGAAAAAAGGATTTTATCAGAAGGCTAGCTAAGAATAGAAAAAGAAAAAAGAAATAGAAAAATAGAAAAAGAAAAAATTATAACAAAGGCTTGTGTCTTGGACAGAGAGTCCGAGCCAGCTGATTGACCATTAATTAGGAACAACCACATGAGACCAATCACTGATCCACTTGCATTCCACAGCAGCAGATAATTACTGTTTACATTTTGTTCCTGAGGCCTCTCAGCTTCTCAGGAGAAAAAAGGATTTTTTCTCCTAAGGATAAGGATCCTAAGGAAAGGATTTTTCAGGAAACACCATGGCTACACACGAGGTGGCTGGAATGGCTTGTCACAGCCAGGACACACCATGGCTACACAGGAGGTGGTTGGAATGGCTTGTCACAGCCAGGACACACCACGGCTACACACGAGGTGGCTGGAATGGCTTGTCACAGCCAGGACACACCATGGCTACACAGGAGGTGGCTGGAATGGCTTGTCACAGCCAGGTTGTGGCACTGCACCGGCTCTGGAGCCCTCCCTGTCCCCAGAGCCCAGCCTACACTTGGTGGCCATGTTCCTCTCCTGCACTCCCAGCGCGTTCTCGCTGTCGGCGCTGCGCAGGCGGCCCCGCGGCTCCAGGTACTGCAGGGCCAGCCCCAGGTTCTCCCCGTTGGTGCTCAGCGAGCGGCTCGAGGGCACCAGGGTGAAGAGATTCCCTTGGTGACGTCGGATCCGGGGAAACGTCCTCCGGCCTGGGGAGAAGGAACATTTTTAAATAAATGTTTGTGGGCGGGAGGTAAATGGCTGGGGGTTGAGCAGCGGGGAGAAGGGAGAGAAATCCCAAGTTCTGCTCTGTTCCCATGGAGCAGAATCTGCTGCCAAACAGATGAGGTGCAAAAATATAACAGCTCAGGGCTGGTGCTGCCTGAGTTCAGTACAGCCCTGGATCATTCCCAAAGCAGAAGGCAGAGAACACTTTGTAATGCCCTCAGTGCTGTAAGATCTAAACTTACCTTCCAAAGGAAAAATCTGGTTTACAGGCTCCGAGTTTTACATACAAAATGACTTTCTAGATAACGTGCCCAGACTTGCAAATAAAAACCATAAATAAAGATTATGCCAACTTGCACCTCCTGAAATTTTGAGAGATTATTTTGCATAAAGCCATCTGATTGAGCAGAGATGCAATTCTTTAAGTCCCTGCTATATTTAAAAGACCCAGAAGCAAGTCTGCAATGCCAATTATCAATATATCAAAATATCAAACTGTAATGAATCTCTGTGGTAGGAAAGCACTTATATAGGGCCAAGTCTAACAATTATGTCTACAATTCCCTACTCAGCCTGGGTAACACCAGAAAGGACAAAGAACTACAAAGTAAACAAAGAATTACAAACAACAACCATGAAAATGTGGCATCATGCAGCATGAATCTCAGCACTAATTGCAAGGACCAGGGCACTTCCAGGCTCTCCAAACAGGAGTTACCCTTGTGTAGAGGTTGCCACTGCCTCACCTTTTTTTCCCAGCCTGGAATGGGAGGTGTGGGACCAACTGTGAGACCAACTCACCATCGTTGTAGTCCTTGTGCTGCATGGAGACGTTGTAGCGCCGAGGGTAGGTGCCACCTTTGCCTGCCTTGTCATAGATCTGATTCTCACGGTCTGCCAGGAGAAGCAAAGACAAAAGTGAGGCTCCTTCAAAAAACATTAACTTCTAATAACAGAATTTTCCTGCAACAGCAGGTTTTTAGGAAGGGGCAATAAATAACTTTTCCATCATCGTGTCCCCACTTCTTCTATTTATACCATCCCAGCAAGCAGGGAGGGCGGCCAGCCAAGAGCAGAAAGTGTCTGGGTCAAATAACCTTTGTAGCAAAGACATACCTGAGAACTCCTGCCTGTTGTCAGGAAAGCTCTGTGCCCTTGACATCCGTGACTTCCGAAAAGAAGGGCTAATAGAGAAAGAAGACCAGAGTAAGTTTTGCTGTTGTTTGGGGTATTATTTTTGTTGATTTATTTTCTAAATGAACAAGTAGAGCCTTGTCTAAAAGAGATTTAAATACCCTGCAGCCAGATGTTCTCAGAGGGGCGGCTCCACACAGGCTGCTCGCTTCAGAACTTTGTATTTATAACTTAAAGCTACTGAAGCACCAGTTTGCAGGTCTGTGGTTGTGCAAGAAAATAACACAGCCTTAAGACATAGTTAATGCTCTTGTTAAAGCTCTTGTTTCCCTCCAAGAAAATGTATGAGATAGAAAAGAAGATTTTATGTAAGTACAACTGGCATTTCCACCTGAGCACCCACGTTCTCACCAGTTTGTACATTTGTACCTGGCTGCTCACCTGTCCAAGGACTGGCAGCTTCCTGACACTGAGTTTTCAGCACTGCTTAGAGGGTCCAGCATCTGCAACACAGAAGAAACCACACAGCAACATGAGTGCAGTCCAGGGCCCAGGAGAGCCTGTGACAGAGGAGCAGAGCCCACAACTGTTTGCCTGCAGAATATCCAGCTGAAGAAGGGAGTCTAAGCCTATTTAAATGTATAATTTTCATTTATCTCCCACAGAAATTAAGTTCATATAAAATCTGAGGAACTGCTTTAGTTTTTGAAGGACTCTGCTGTGAAAAATACAAGCTTTAGCAGCCTTGTGCTGCATTTTGATCCCAACTGGCTCCAGGAACAGTCTCTGCTGGTGCTGCTGCCTCCACCTGCAAGTCGCCCTTTGGCCTCACTTCCCACTTTTCTGAATGGAGAGCAGAGTTTCAAAAGCAAGAGGGTCACACAAACCTGGTAATAGGAAACCTTATCACATGTGTGACAGCACCAAAACTGCTCAGTCAGAGCTGGAGGGGCAATGCCCAGAACGGGGAACTGCTTCTGGCAGCCCAACAAAGGCTTTGAACTTACACAGCTACAATCTGAAGCTGTTTAAATGCACAAAGCAGCACTTTTATAAACCCAGAACGATTTGGGTTGGAAAGAACTTTAAGGGTCATCCAATTCCACCTCCTACCATGGGCAGGGACACCTTCCACTAGATCAGGTTGCTCTAAGGATACTTTTAGGGATGGGGCAGCCACAACTTTCTGAACAATGTGCGCCTCACTGCTTAAAGGTGTGGATGCAACCAGAGCCAGTGAATATTTGGGAGAGGAAAGGAGGGCCCAGATGCCAGCAGGACCCCCTGGCAGGTGGGTACTCACGCACTGCTCGCTGGTCTCGGGGATGAACTCGCCCTCGCTGTGGATGCTGGTGTAGGAGCCCTGGCGGGCGATGCGCTGCTGCCGCTCGGGGACGTAGCCGGGCGGGGGAGAGCTGCGGCCCGTGTTCTGGGAGCCTGTGACAGGGACACACTCACCCTGCTGCTGGGGCACTGCTGCAGCAGCCACCCTGCCACAGCACAGCCCTATCCCCCCACAGTAACTGCAGAGTGAACCCTACAGTCTGTGAAACCAAACTGTCTGATGTGCACCATCCCCACTGCCTCCACATCAAACCTCTATCTCTCAGAGTAACTGCAGAGTGAACCCCACAGCCTGGACAGACATGGGACAGGGAAACTAACCTGTCTGATGTGCACCACCCTCACCACACCACACCTCTATCCCCCCCAAAGTGAACCCCAGAGTCTGGACAGACATGGAACCCGTGAAACCAAACTGCCTGATGTGCACCTGTATTGATGTCTTAGATGTTAAGTAATTATTGCTGAAGCTCCTGACAAAGCAGCCACCTATTTCCAACCTCTTCTGCTCAACCTTCTGAGCATAATTCCAGTTTAATCATCTGTTAGTGGCACTACCTAAAGAGTTTCTCTTGTGCTACCTACTGAGAGAAACTTCACTCTTAGGGTTTATTTTTTCCTTGCACATCTCAAAGAAGATGAAACTAGATACAGGAAGAAAAAAAGCCCTTTTTGCAGTGACCTATCCACCTGCAGCTGCCACCAATTCCCACTGTGAGCTCCAAGAACTGCTGTGGTCCAGGCCAATCTGCTCGAGGTCACACACGAAGCCAGAGGCAGCAGGTGGAGATCAGCCCTCAAGCTGTGCTCCTTACAACACTGTCTTTAATTAACTGTGTGTACTCAGGTGCTAGGAAAGATGGGTAAAGATCAGCAAATATTCTCCCAAGGAAAATATTTTCTATAGAAGTTGTAATAAAGAGCGAAGGCGAAGAGCTGGGAGAAGTGAAGAGCACAAAACTTTCAGGGGGCTGCAGAAGGAAAATGAACAATGCTGGCATGGCTTAGAGTGCAAGAGGGAGGAACTACATGAAAAAAAAAAGGGATTAATAAAATCATAGGATCATTAGGGTTGGCGAAGACCTCCAAGATCATGAAACCAAGATTGCCAAGCGCACAATGCATTGCTCAGAGCTACCACCTGATGTCCCAGGCAGCTCCCAGGGCTGGTGAGCCCTCTGGAGGGGTGGGATAACCCTGGCAGTGCCTGGGCTGCCCCAGCCCTGCAGCACTTTCACTCCTTCCGACAGATGGCACGGGCAGAGCCAGCCCGGCCCGCTGGCACCGGCCCAGGGGCTGCTGTGGAAAGGCCCCATCCCTGGGCAGGAAAAGGAAGTCGGCACTAAATCCATGTATATCAAAGGAAGTGAGTGGAAAAAACACAAGCCCTGCCAGAATGTTTAGTAACTTTTTTTTTTTTTTAAACTTTTAAATAAAAGTTACCGTTACTTCCAAAGCTCTGAGCTGGTGACAAGAGGCTGGGGCTGTTTGGAGCTCAGGAACCACACAGGTCCCTCTCCTGCCTGCAAAAAGCTTTAGTTGAACAATGCTATGGACTTCAATTGTGTGACATGGTAGGAGTTGGAGAATCTCTATTAACACCAGCAAACAGGGCACCTTCCTCTTCCAAACCAAAGACAGGAAAAGAGAAGGAAGAAGAAATTGATGCAAGATTGAGCTATTGCCAAATTACCAGCAGACCTCTGACACAACTGGAACTCTTCTGGACCTCTCAAATCTAACAATCTGGTACTCTGACATGTTCACAAAATAAAAGCAAAGGTTTCCTGACTGATGAATGACAAGTTATTCAGAAAGCATCCATAAGCTGGGATTGGAGGAAAGAGTGTGTAACTGGGGCCCCTGATCACTGCACAGTTCACCCCTGACAGACACTTGCTACACTCTGTTGGCTTTGGCACCATTACCTCAGAACATCAGTAAAGAAAAAAATATATATAGATATATTTTAAATGAAATAATTTTGGCATTCAATTTGTTTGTTATAGAAGAAACGTGGTGTTCAGACATGCATGGATACCACTTCTCAGGACCAAGGAATGTTGCTCTTTTTATGCCTATTAACTTCAAACTAGGAAGGAGAGTAAAAGTCTTTTTGTCCCTGTTTCAGTCACATAGTTCACAAGCTTTCAGTACTTTGTTTGCTGCTTCATAAAAGGAAATTGTACAGAAGGGGATCAGCAAACTCTCCACAGGTTACAAGCAGGTTTGTTAGACAAGTCCCACACCAAGAACCACTGCTCTGGTTCACAAGTCCTTCCCTCTGAGCTCACTCACTGTTACCTCTGCTCAGAGCAGTGTGGATCCAACTCTGGTTTGGCCTCCCCAGTATGGAGATTGTTGTGATTTAAGCTGATTTATTAATTAATACTTTTAACTGCAAATACTGATCTAAAATAGTGTAATAATTCTGCCTCAAGTTCACAGAGTTAATGAAACTGAAGCACTCCTTTGCTACAGTGAAGAACTTGCAAACAGAATAATTCTGACATTCCCAGCTCCCGGTACTGCCCTGTGTGACTCGCATCACTTGTCCTCAGGCATTAGCTGTGACAAGCCCCAAAATAGCTGTTTTAATAAATAGAGTCATCCTCTGCTTCTGTTTCCAGCAGAATTTCCCTTCTCTCCTTTCTGAAGCAGAAATAGTTTATGCAGAGCAGCATTTCAGCTCTGGCCTTCACACCCTCACCTTCCTCCTGCACCTTCACTGCTCATGGAGCTTCACACCAAGGAGTCAAACCCTAAACCACACACTTTTCTGGGTTTTTTTCTGGGCCCATAAATCCTTGAAGGTGTTTTACATGTTTTAGTATTTCATATAAAGGTTAACAGCTTTGAGAATCGTTCAAGAACAGATTTGAATTGCACTGCATGGTTAGAGTAGGTTGTAACAGAGAAATTGGGAGAAATCAGACAAATCTGCCAAAGATGGAAGTCATAAAAACTACAGAAGTCTTAGATGAACCTTTCCCCCAAACAGGAGTTCACTGGGCTAACAGAAACCCAAAGAAACGAGACAAAGGTACATATTATTCTATTACTCTGATTTTTTTAATTATCTTTTGTGCACCTCTGATTTTGTCTTGTGCTGATAATTCTAGAAGTGAAACTTGAGGCAACTCAGAATGTAGGACACTAGCTGGATATGCAATAGTAATTCCCAGCAAAATGCTTGATTACAGGAGTCAGGAGAGATTCCAAAGCCCAACATAAAAAAAAATCAAATCTAGGTTACATGAACTGAAATTGCCAATCTAAATAAAAAGCTTAATAGACTCGCATCAGCTTTCCAAATTTCTAACCACAATGGCTCTGGCTTTGGGACATCCCCTTTAGCAGCTCCTCAGCTGTTCCACAGTTTAGCAAGGAACTTTGAAACATTCTACTGTAAACATATTAAGAGCTTTTGAAAATGAACTGCCTTGTCCCAGAATAACCTTTCAATTTCTCGTGGCTCTCCTAAATGCTCTACCATAAACACTAGTGCCCAAAAGCTACATTTCAACAAACAAAAACATGTAGAAGTGACAAAAATACTCACTGACAGACAGATGTCTGCTTCTGGGCTCTGGCTGCTGGTAGGGTGTGCTCACATCCCCTACAGATTGGGAAGTTTTAATCCTGACTTGCTTGGGCAGTCCAGAGTGGGGTGAAGAACTGCTCTGTTGGGCAAAATGGAAAGAATAAAACAAAATAAAGTGAGATGAAGGAGCTCAAGTAGTCTGGACACAGTTAAAAAAATTATTATGCTTAGTAGCAAGAAAGTGCTGAGCAACAGTTCTAGAGCCTGAAATCTTATTAATTCAGAAAACACAAACAAAAGACAGCAAAAGAGCCAGGTTTACAATTAGGGTGTAAAACAGGAGTCAGAGAACTAGAACAAGTGCAGCTCAACTCAAATGCATGATTTGCAGGTCTGTGTCTGACATTATTTGAGGGGTTCCTGTCACAGACCAGAACACAGAAGCACCTCCAATTTCCATCAGCCACCTTGGCCAGCAAAGATAAATTCTGAACCTTGCACTGTTTCAGAAGCAACGTGACTCCCCACAGCATTTAAAAAGTAAATTCATAACTCAGACTAAGTAAAAATAAATTCTGGGGAGTTTAATAGCACCAACAGTCAGGAGATGCCAAGATGAATTTATTCATCCTTCCCCTGAACTTACATAGATATTATCTAATTAAAGGTAATTTTTCCACAGAGCTCTCATCTCATTCAAAGCAAGAAGAGGAGTGAGACACATGAAACCTCCCCCAAGCCATTGAAATTCTCTGTTAAAAGCAGAGGCTCAATACCTGCAGGCATTTTCAATTTTAACCCTGACCCAACACACCTAGTTTTACAAGGTGTTTTACTCCTCTCCTCTTGAGTTACAGAATTTATCTGATTTGAAAAGAACATAACCAAAGACACCTCAAGGAAATAAATTCTGACTTCCGAAAATTATTTGAACTTGACAGGCAAAGAAGGTGCAAAAACTCAAATACTTTAATTCAATATTAAATTACTGGATGGTTGCACATTTAATGTGTGCATACACTTGAAAGGAGTAAGGAAAGAGACTGATTTAAATCACATAAACTCCACCATGGGCAGGTCCATGGGAGCTGGATAAAGGTGCTGATGAGGTTACCCTGCTTAAAAAGCTGCAATATTTTAGCTCCCAAACAGCTGCTGAAATCAGGGAAAAAACCAACACAATAAGACACCTACAGCTGAGCCAATGCAAAGAGGATAAACACATGCATTTGTGCCTGGGAAAATTGATTTTATAATCCCTGTCACACTCAGTTAATGCTGCCATCATGCTTCAGAGTCTTAGGGGTAAAGCCCTTGATTTTGCAGTCCCAGAAGTTGTTACCCACATGGTTTCTGTCCTGGGACAGCAACAGTATCCTCAGGCTTTTCACATTTGAGCTCCTGTCCAAGAGATCCACAGCTTTATCCAGGTCATCTTGGTTTTTCAAAGGAATAGAGAGCTGCAAGATAAAGAGCATGGAAGAAAATCATTAGAAAATACAGAAAAAAACTCTACTTCTACAATGGGTTGTTTAAATACAATGGGTATTTAAACAAACATTAGAAAAACACCAGACTGTAGAACAGGATTCTGATTGCTCAGTTATTCCACAAATTTTCATCCCAATGCTGTCTGACTGTCCTTTTTAATGAGGTTTTCCTCCCAGGTCAGAAAAATGGCTGACCCGAATGCAAATTCCTCTAAAGCATCACCCACAAAATATGAATTGCTACCTGGATTTGCTGTTTGCAAAGAACAGAGACTTGTCAGCCCCTGACTTTCTGATGAGAAAATGGTCTCAGAATACTTATGAATCCAGAACTAATGATCAAGTGAAAATTTGGTTTCATGTAGAAATAGTGTGTCCTAAGCAACACAAAGCAAGGGAACAAGATGCTGATGTTTGTACAACAACAGTGAGATGCTTTATCAGGATCAGCACATTTGCCTCTGCATCAGGGATTCAACGACGGTTTGCATTAAAGAAAGACCCGAAAATTAAATTTCTGGTTGGGGGATTTGTGCTGGGGAAAGGAGGCGTCACACAGAGAGCCCTGAGAGCTCAGTACCTCGTTGTTCATGTAGTGGAGGTCCAGGGGCTGCCCAAAGGCTGTTTTCACTTTCTGCTGCACGTCTTCGTAGCGCACGGGACGGACAAACGGAATAATCCTGGCAGGAAAGAGAGCCACTGCCTCATCCACAGATACACTTGATAATGCAATCAAATCACATGGCTGAACCACTAAACCCACATCTGAATGGTCTCCTTTCATCCACAAGCAAGTAGGGAACCTTTCAAATTTAAATTTGTATGTATTATTTCAATAAGGAATTATTGATCTCTGGCCCATTTCTATACAGTTTGTCAAAATGCGATATTCAGCTGGAGATTTCAAATAGAATCCCTTTGTCCCTTGGCAGAAAAGAATCCTTTTTTTGAATAAATGTCTTTCACATAACAGGATACAAATGCCCTGTGCACCTTGGCTTAAAAAATACCACCTGCTCTGGCACAGATGAGATTCTGCCACAAAGAGCTGGATTGTGAGCACCAATTAACAAACTTGTCACGAGGCAGAAATAACAGGATACAACAAGGTCTCCCTCGAGCCTACTCTTCTCCACGCTAAACAATCCAAGATCCTCTTCACACGTGAACTATTAAAATATCTGGTTATACTTTTTGTCCTCAGTTGGAAGATTAGTGCTCTTTCCGATGCAATTTCTGCTAGCTAACTTTCAGGAAAAAAAAATCTTTTGCAATGAAAAAACTTTCAGGTTTTTTATATTTCTTTTGCTACATCAGCACACTACAAATGATCGAGGGACTGTTTGGACTTCCAAGCTACTGAGTGGACCATGGAAACTCAAGACCTGTTCTTGTCCAACTCAGTGAGACCCTGAATTATCTCACAGGAGATTGTGGGGAAAGGGAGGGAGAGGGGCTTTGTGTAGGGGCCACAGAGAAGCTGTGGATGCCCCTGGATCCCTGGAAGTGCCCAGGGCCTGGCTGGATGGAGTTTGGAATAACTTGGGACAGCGGGAGATGTCCCTGCCCATGGCAGGGGTGGCATTGGGTCCTTGAGGTCCCTTCCAACCCAAACCATCCTGGGATTCTCTGGCTCTGTGCTTTGGAGAGAAGGTTTAGTTTCCCAGTCATCCATCCACACAGCCTCATCAGCCCTGGGTATCATTTCAAGAGATGAAGCTTTTGTTTGAAATAACCCTTGTGTTCCTCAGACCCTTCCCATGAATGGTTATTTTACCACCAGACCTACAACATTCAGCTCTTTGGAAATAATTGTCCTTGTTAAAAAGCAGCCCACAATAACATTTTCTACATATTCCTAAGAAATCCATACAAGAAATCACAGTGCTCTGGCACCACACAAATGCCATGTGGCTCTCAGTCCCTCATAAAGGCTCCCATTCTACACTCAATGCTTTCAAAAGCAGAGCTGTTCTCAGGTGCCACAAATTTTATTAGTTTAAAAACTCTGTGCACTCCTCTAACACAAAATCCTGGACTGCAGGGTTTAAGGAGCCCATTCCTGCCTGACCACCTTAAATATTTGTGGTTAGATCTGGCAGCTCCTGTGAAACCAAGCACACACACTGACATTCTGGTGCAAGCTCCCTGTCTGGAACTGCACACCGTGCTGGGAGCAGGGAATTCAGGCGAGCACAACTGCATAATTACACTGACACACAATCAACCTTTTCATTTTAGAAATAAAAAAAAAAACCAGGAGAAAACCCTTCTGCCCCCTGGAATGCACCCAGCAGACAGGCAAGATGATAAGCCTGTGGTGACAGCAGAGTTCCCCTGTGCTGACACAGTGTGACAAGGAATTGTGACACGTCCCACTGTGCCTCTGTTGTTGTCCCCACAAAGCCCCTGACACAGAAGAGTGCTGAGCAGACCTGGCTGACAAAGGAGGAAGCAAATCCCAGTGAGGATTACCTGTAAAATTTCTCCCACAGCACAAGAAGTCACTGACAGAATTCATCACAGAGGATTTCGGTGAAAGAAACAGCTCAAGTTTTGAGGAAGAGTAGAAATTATTCTCCACAGCCTGCTTTGCCAACAAAGAACACTTCTGCTTTCCTAACAGAAATCCCAAAATCTGACAAAGGAGGAGCTTCAACAACCTGGCCAATAACCTCTGCTAGAACAGGCTGTGAGGATCACTACAGACAACTTGTCCTCCTGTGCCATTCACATTAAATTTACATTTTATCATGAAATTGTGAACTACTTCATGATGGAAATACTGCCTGGCCTGAGAGAAACCCTCTCCCAAGATGGTACACACATTCATGCTTACAACCCAATTAATATCTTCCAAAATATGGACACTATAGCCCAGCAGCAAGATGATGTTTTCCCTCAGTGAGAGCAGACCCAGAGACCACAGACAAGCCTGGAGCCCTCCTGAGTGTTCACACAGCCACAAGTCATTAAATGTTTCAAGAGTTCCTCTTGAATTGATGGCAAATAAGAGGATTTTTGGGACCTACTTTGAAATATTTCAGCAATTTTATCCATTGTAAACAATGCTGTAAAAACTGAAACTGCTATTTCAGTTATTTCTGGTTTTTTTTTTTCTTGTAAAAGAATGTCTCTCGAAACCAAATATCAGAGGAAATAACAAAGAAGCTTTTACACCAATGAAAAATAAAAATCTTTCTTTGCTGTATCTATTGCTCAATCACAGCAAGGCAGTGATAGTGACAGGGCATCAGGAAGTGAGAAATTAGAAAAGAATGATACTGATTTGATCAGCTTCATTTGGTTTCAGTTAGATGAAACAAAATGGGAACATATCTGAAATAAGACTTTCAGGCTGAATTTTTTTCAGGTTGGACAGCTTTTAAAAATGCTGCAGTTCACTTACAAATAAATGTTATGGCAATAAATCAGTGTTTTATGACACACTGATCTCTAAAAATAACCAAGTTGTGTGTGAGCTGCTTGTTGTTGCCTTCACTGTGTGATTTCCATTCAGGAAAAGGGAAACCAAAGCCAACAAAATATTTAAGCTAAATTACTGATGACTAAATTATTCTCCCAAGCAAAGAATCAAAGCAGTGAAGGCCAACTTACCGTCTCTCCCCATTATGTTCAAACTTTATCCTGACATCATTCTGCAGGAGAAAGGACAAAAGGTGAGCTCACAATCAAACTCTGGCACACACAACAGCACACAAATGCACTATATTGTGATTTCAGCATTTTAACTTTCCCCATGGAAGCTGAAGCAGACTGTGGAAACAAGGGGCTGATACATGAACACAGCACGTGAGGAATGGAGAAACTGCTGAAGGAGGAAGACAAGGAAAGGGGTAAAAACAAAGCTGTAATTTTTGTAAATTGACACTTCAACAGAGGACATTGAAATAAACTTTGAAAAAAAATAATCCATCTTTAACACTGCATGGAAAAATTTGAAATTCAGTCCTAATTGCTTATTAATCTGAAGGCAATTTTCTTTAAGCATGCTCAAAGCATGCATGGCAGGAAACAGAGAGGGAATGTGCTACATTTTTTATTCCTACTCCTATTTTTGAATTTTTATTCCTATTTATTATTCTTTATTCTTAAGACACGGACTAAATCTCTGCTTTTGCAAAGATGCAGCCCCTGAAACTCAGAGGTACAAACAGGCTGATTCTGTGTCACCTTTTAAAGTTTTAAGGTTTCAGCAAAGGGATCATCACCACTACCTGATAGTTAAAAGCACTGATTGTGCAACCTGTGCAGTCACTGTAAACTCAGAAGATGCTGGGTGGCATGCAAGAGTCAACAAGCTGAACTTTCAACTCTGGACATTGGAAGTTCAAATCCCAATTTAGGTCAGAAAGATAAAAATAAAAGGGAAAAAATCTACTCTTGATAAGACTCCATCATTTCTGCTGCACAATTTATGTGATTGGAATAGATTAAGCCATCTGTGAAAGCCTCAGACAATAGGCAATCATACATCTAGGAACTTCAAAAAAAAAACGTGGCCAGGAAACGCTCTTTAGCTGGAGGAAGTTTCTGGCAGGCCCAGTGGTCAAGAATGCAGCTCAAAAGGACCCACGGAGTCCCTGGGAGCACACGGAATTCCTGCAGTGCTGGACCAGGGAAAATGAACCTTCCCAACCCCAGCAGTGACCAGCTGCAGCTGGGGCACTCACATGTCACTTTAAAGAGTGGTTTTTACACGTAGGAAGAGAAAGAACTTAGTCTAGAATTACCCCAAAATGAAAAAAAAAATCAAGAGAACCCATTTAATTGATCAATAGAGGAACAATGCAGCAAACAGCACAGGAATTACATGAAGTCACTGCACAGAGACATATTCCTAATTTATAATTGCTAATAAGGAAATGAAGTTGGTTTTCTTACCGGAATTTTTTTTTCTTCCACTGCAGAGGCACACTGGTTCATTATTGCAGGGCTGCCCAAGAGGGGGGGACTGCTGGCATTGTGTTTTTTCTTTAAAAAAAGAATAAAATCACTTTAAAAAATTGGAAATATGACTGTGAAATCAGAGAGTCACTTGCTAAGTGTGGCTTAGCATTTTTAGCTGTGCAGACTAAACCCCATAAAAAATACATAAGGGGAGAATGCAGTATACATATATGTATAATGCAACATATATTAAATATTTTATTAAACTACATAAATGTATAGCATATATAATATATACAGTTTATACAGTATACATACATGTATAATGCAATATATATTAAATATTTTATTAAACTACATAAATGTACAGCATATCTAATATATACAGTTTATGCAGTACACATACATGTATAATGTAATATATATTAAATATTTTATTAAACTACATAAATGTATAGCATATCTAATATACACAGTTTATATGACATGATATCCATGATATTTTTTATGAGGCAGACCAAGCCTCATAAAAAATACATATGGGGAGAATGCAGCATACATACATGTATAATGCAATATATATTAAGTATTTTATTAAACTACATAAATGTACAGCATATATAATATATACAGTTTATGCAGTATACATACATGTATAATGTAATATATATTAAATATTTTATTAAACTACATAAATGTATAGCACAGTTTATATGACATGATATTTTTTATGAGGCAGACCAAGCCTCATAAAAAATACATATGGGGAGAATGCAGTATATATATATGTATAATGTAATATATATTAAATATTTATTAAACTCCATAAATGTATAGCATATCTAATATATACAGTTTATATGATATTATATCCATTAATCTTATATAAAAATATAAAAGCTCCCATATTTGCCACAGCCTGAGCAGGATCAAGGAGCTATTTCCCATCTGATGCTTTGGCTGCTGGAAGCACAGGACAGAGCCAAGGATCTGAGCCAGTCTCTGTGGACCTGCCCTGTCCCTCCTGTCCCAGGTGACCACTTCAGGCACTCACCAACCATTTTACCTGTCTGTTGGAGTGAGCAGTGTCCTTATTCTTCATGGTGTCATACCCGGGCAGGCGGTGGCGCCTGCCCATCTGGAGTGCCACCAGGTCCTTCATGATGGACTTCAAGGCCTCTTGTTCATCTGTGATGCACAAGAATTTCAGGAGTAAGTTGTCTGGGTGAGCAGCAACCATGACATTTCTGCAGCTCTGGCACTTCTACACTGGTTTTCTGCTGGCTCATAGAACAGCAATCCTTTTTAGGATCTTTGCAAATACACTGTGATTTAATTTAGTCATAAAAAAGCAGCCCAAAATTAACTGAATACCATGACAGATGAATGTTAAGTCACTCATCCAATATCACAGAAGGATCTGGGCAGAGTACAGATGAGAATGAATATCCCCAGCCCCTAATTCTGTTCAGAAGTCTTCACAACAAACAGTAAAACCTGGACAGATTTGCTAGACCATCACAGGTCATTTAGGAAGGGCAAGCTGACGTGCTTCTGCCAAGGAAAACCTGGGAAAAGTCTGTTCTTTCCCATTTTATGTCCTGTTAACTCTGAATTCTTGCCTGCTAGTGGAACAAACCACGGCCAGCAGAAAGAGAAATGAAAATCTGGACAAAGATTCATCTTGGAGTATCTGTGAACACAAATCCACTTGCACTGATTGCCCCAACACGTTCCTCTCCTCCCTCAGAACAAGCTGATGGAATAAAATTCAAACCATTTTATGAGATTTCAAGATCTGCTGAGCAGGTTCAAGTTGTCCAGCACTAGGAACACTGTCTGCTGGCACAGTACAATGCAGCAGGTTCAATTCAAGGCTTCTTGCCTTGCAGCAATATAAAAACACACATTGATTTTTTTTCTTGTATGTTCCACTGACTAAGAATTACCTTCTGAAGATTCCTGATGTAACCAATTTAAAGTATTCTCTCCCATTGCCTGCTTGCTTTGAGAAGTGGTACACAGCAGAATTTTGTGCTTAGAGATAAAAACAAAGATGTAAAAAGAGGGAAATGCAGAGTAGCTGTGATGGATGGTAGATGAAGCTATGGAAATTAATCCTTTCCTTGAGCAAGGATAAGGACTTTAAATTCCTTGATATTGCAAAAGGTAAAGGAAGCTGCCAAGTGCAGTTCTGTCCAAAGTGGGACTGCACTGGGCACTTGGCTGCCAGGCACCAACAAAGCAGCACCTCATGCTGTCCTGGCACACTCCTGCCCTCTGCACTGCCTGGCTGCTGTCTCACATTTCAAGGCTCTAAAAGGTTTTAGGGATAAAGTGTCGTTTCCTTGGCAAATAATACACTCAGCTAAATCCTTCCTGATATTAAGGCATTACTTAGGCATGGAATTTGAAGCAATGATTTGATCAGCTCTGGACATGCCAAGGAGAATCTGCCCTTTCTAAAAGAGTTTGGGAGGACCTGAACCCCAGATTTGAAAGAAAAGCTTTTTTTTTTTTTTGATAATTGGGATTTTTGGAAGTGATGTGAGCCAGATTAGGTTATCACAGTTTCTCCTTTTTTCCCTCACTCTGTCACTTTGAGAAGTTCAAATTGAAATGAACATCTCTGAAGCTGATTTGTAAATAACTAAAACTCAATTTTAAGACTCCACCATGGCTATACACTCATCCCTGATTCATAGCACTGGTTTGATAGGTAATCACTTGCATTTGGAAGAGCTGTCCTGGGAACAGCTGCTGAACATCAAAGGATGGGCTGGCTCACACTGGTACCTCCCTGTAAAAGGGACTCAGCGGGACGATTTGTTTCTGCAATTTTGTGTCGTGCATTTGTTCACTCTCCAAAGCAGTCAGCTCATGTTTTATGCAGAAGACTGGCTTCATAATTAATCAATGTCTGAATAACAAACGAGATTTTCGCAACGCTTAAAGATGACAGATGTGGGACACACACGGCTTGTAAAGCACGCAGGGAGCAGATCCTACTGAAAGTTAAAAGCAGAATGAGAAAAATACACCTCTTTGTAAGGAGGAAACAGCTGAAGTCCCAGTCAGAACAGAAGTCACACTAGGATTATCTTTGCTAAAACCAATAGTTTCTGCCCAGGTCTGCTTTAGCTTTCACAGGATCCCAAAATGGTTTGGGTTGAAGGAGATTTCAAAGCCCATCCAGTGCCACCCTTGCCATAGCAGGGACACCTTCCACTGTCCCAGGCTGCTCCAAAGCCTGTCCAGCCTGGCCTTGGGCACTGCCAGGGATCCAGGGGCCTCCTCACCCTCACAGGGAGGAATTTCTTCCCAACGTCCCATCCATCCCTGTCCCCTGGCAGTGGAAGCCATTCCCTGTGTCCTGTCCGCTTGTAAAGTCTCTCTCCATCGTTCTTGCAGGCTCTCTTTAAGCACTGGAAGGTGAGTCCCAGCTTGGTCCTGAGAGCACCCAACATCTGAGATACATCCACTGTGGACTCCACAATGTTACGCCAGAAACATCAAGCCTAGACCAGATCATGAAATGGAAGGAAAAGAAATCTCCCAATGCATCTGCAGAAGGTGTTAATTACAGAAAAAAAAAATCTTAAAAAAGGAATGCAGAGCAGAGAATATAAAAAAATCCAAATCAAAACCCAGCAAATCTCTGCTGTCCAAGACAAGCCAAATGAGACAATAACCACATTGTGGCAGTGGAGAAGGGAGAGCACTCCTGGACATTCCAACTGCATGTAAAAGAAGCAAGCGGTGTAAGTAACACAACCAAAGCAAGAGGCTGCTTTTTGAGAAGCACATCAGCCAAAGGAAATAAGTGCTGGGATCTATCTCAGCACTAAGTAACCCCTTGTGGGATGAAAATGGGAAGAAACAGCTGTGAATGAAGCTAAAGTTCCAGGTAGGCAACGGCACAACTTTTTCCTTTTTTTTTTAAGTTTCCAACTTTACAGTTGAACATTTAACCTTTTACCTTAACTGGTGTGTCTCCAATTTACTGGTGTTCTTTCCTTTTGATGGTATTAAGAACAGCCTTGGAGTCACCTGGCAGACAAAGGCTGAAACTGCACAATAAAAATACTAAATCCTATGGCCTGGAACATCCCTGATGTTCCTACCACCCAAAACACTCAGGGAAGAGCTGGGATACAAGTTTTCCACTACAGTGCAGTTTGGGTTTGGCCAGATACCAGGAGGATGAAGAAGAGCTTGTCTTGGCAGAGTTCCTTTGGGCAAGAAGCAAACGAGCTATGAAAGCAGTTTATAGCTGAGGGCTGGTGACAAGAAATCAAATCCATCAAAGAATAGGTCTGAGAGTAAGAATTCTCCTCTAAACAGCATCATCACTGGAAAACAAAGATCAGTGGTTGGCTGCAGGTGTTCTAGCCCAGGTTCCAGGCTGTGTGGAGTCAGCAGTCACTCACTTGTGGCACAGAGGACACATCCAGCCACCTGAGTGCTCTCCATTACAGATTGCAGCTTGGCTGTGAAGTGAATTTATTTATTAGCTGAGGCAATTTGCGAGTTTACAACACCAACTCTGAAGGGCAGCATCTGGCAAACACCAGAGCTCAGGGTGGGATTGCTGGGGTGTCCTGAGCAGGACCAGGAGCTGGACTCATCCCTGTGGGTCCCTCCCAACTCAGGATATTCTACAAACCCCTGCAAGCTCTGTATCTATCTCACTCACTGCAGTCATTCTAACACCAGAATATTATTTATCTTCATAAAATGGGAACACTTAATGTTCTAACAAAGGGGATGGAACAACTTCAGCTGAGTTTAAATCTTATTATACATTTTTAATACTCTTACACTGAGCTGTTGGTTCTCTACTACTAAACCATACATCCTGTAATTCATCCCTATGCTGATGAGGTAGGATATGACAGAGTATTTATCTCTTGAAAGGATAAAATAAAGTCAAATACTGATCTGAGCTTGCGCAGGGAAGAAGTGTACCTGGTGAGGACAGCAGTGTGATGGATTTAATGCTGAGAAGCACGAATATTCTTTAGTTCCATCCCAACAGAGCATTTCCATAGACTGATATGGAGCAGCCTTACATTAACTGCACAATGCAGAAGCTGCTACAAATGAAAATGAAGCAATTTTTGGAGCACTGAGAGACCCTGTTTTGCCTGGTCTCCAGTAGGTCTGGGAAACACAGTTCTGCTTTGTGCGGGAAAGATGTTGTCCAGGAAATGCTTTTCATGTTTTAAAAACTACACTCAAGGATTTTTATAACTCCGATAAAAGCGAACTGCTGTATTGGAATATGAATCCACTGCTGCTCACAGAGAAAGTTGTTCCTCCCCACAAAGCATTTACTTCAACCAATCCCTGGTTTGTTACACAGGTCTGAACAAGTCGGAAATGGAAACAGTTTAGAAAAAGAACAAAAAAAAAAAAAATCCCAAAGTTAGAACAGCAGAAGTATCTGCATATATCTGTGAACCTCCCTAGTCCAGGATCATGTTTTAGATGGTGTCACAGTGGGACACATGATCCCATATCGTGGAAAAGAGAAACAAGTGAACACATCTGTGTGTTTGTTATCCACCACCACAACAGCAAAGCTGGCTTGGGTAAGTGATTGGGCAGATTTGGGGGCAATGAGGAAATTTTAGACAAATTGTGTCCATGTTAGAGGTCTCAAAAAAGCATTGAAAAGAGCTTCATTTTGAGTCCTTTGCTGTGGGCAGTTTTAGTGGTACCAAAATGCTGCTGTGTGCAAGCTTTAGGAAGTCACTAACAACCCGGTTTGTAGAGTGAGAGGAAAAATCAGAGCTCTCTATGAGGCGTATCACTGCAGGATACATTCAGGGTCCCTGTTCTCACTCACAGGTTAAAGGAAAACTCTGGGATTTGGGATTTGAGCCGGTGCTAACCTGCAGGCTCAGCCCCGCTCCCTCGGTGCGTGTGAGCCAAGGGAAGGAAGTGACACAGGCAGGAAAAGCCGGCGGAGGGGAAGGCTGCAGGGAGCAGGGCCTGCTCCCCAAAGGCAGCCCTGCACGCCTCGGGGCTCCGGCTCCCTGCTCTCCAGCCTGCCAAGGAGGGAAAAAACCCTCAGGGATTGCCCAAAATCCGCTCAGGTGAGCGCCGGAGTCCTGACACCAACACTGCAAACCCTGACACCAGCACTCACACATCCTTCAGGTGGGTCAAACACCACATCAAAGAGAGTCAGAGCATCATGTAAACCCATCATCCGCTATTAACCAGATTATTTGGTCACAGCTGCTGAATTAATTCAGGTTTTGCCCATTGCAAAGGGTAAATCTGCTCGCAGCTGTGCCATGGCGGAGCGGTCCATGAAATTGTATTTTTTCATTCTGTGCTCACATGTTTACAAACACAGGTCCAACTGCCATTGGAAAACGCTTTCATGGAAATCCAAGTTCCTACTTCTAAACCATTTTAAGTTTATGAAGCACCCTGCTGCTCTAGAGTGGATTACACTATTCCTCTTTGTAGCAGAGAAATCTAGCAATGGTTTTGCATCAATTTGTGGTATTTACCAAATCAAAACAGAGTAAAGAGATACTGAAGTAGTTGTAGAACAACATTTGCAATGCTTCTTGAATTTAAAGTATAAAAGTTAATTATGTACACAGACTAAATGAAGGAGAGTCTTAGAAAACCAAATTTGGTTGTGGGGAAGAAACATTTAAGTTGTAGCCCATGAAGCCATGAAACTCCAGACTTAGAAAAGCAGGAATTTCCTTGCCAATACGCAAGTATGAGTAAGTTCTGGTTTAGAGCAATTAAAAGTTTAATTCTAGCACCTCTAAGTTGAAAAAGGAATTAAGAAGCACAAGACCCCCTCCATAAGCAGTTCTTTATACAGGACATACAGTCCAAATCCAAATTATTTTGAATTAATCAATCCAATTCAGTCATGGCAGCTCCTCATAACAACGTTTTCCTCTTGAAAAAGAGTTCTTCCAACTCCTTTGCTTGTTTTTACATGTTGCTGTCTGGGCCGAGAATGGCAAACGAGAACTCGGGGGGAGCTCCATAAAGGAAAATCTATTTTGATGGACTCCCAAACTACATTTAATAACAGAAATCTCCCTGATTAAGCTCGTGCAGAACAATTCCCGTCTCAAGCAGAGCCAACTTCTGGAGGCTGGAGGAGCCCCCTGCGCTCAGCCCGGCCCGCTGCTCCCGCCGGCGCGTCTGGCCAAGTTCGCTACCGGCCCGGGGCACCGCACGTATCGGTAAACACCGATTTTCACCATTTTAACCAAATCCTTGAAAATCCACCGCTCCCCGCGGCGCTGCCGCTGCCGGGCCCGCCCGCGCCGGCCCCGCAGCACCGAGAGCGGCCCGGAGCGGGGCCCGGCCGAGCCCCCGCCGCCCCTTCCCGCCCGCAGCGGCCCCCGGCCCATGACGCGGCCCCGGCTCCCGGGGCTTCTCCGCCGCTCCTCACCCATGTCTGCGGGCGGCGGCCCCGCTCACGGCGGGCGCTGCGGGACGGCGCTGTCACCGCCGCGGCTCCATGGCGGCCGGGCCGAGGGGGAGGGCTCAGAGCCGCCGCCGCCGCCGCCACATTCCCAGGCCCCGCGCCGCCGCCTCCTCCTCCCGGCGGCCGCGCTCCGGGAGCGGCGGGCGGGGGCGGGAGGGCGCAGGCGCTGCCGGTGCGTCCCGGTGCCCCCGGTCCGTGCGGGCCGGCCCCGCCGCCGCCGCCCGCAAAACAAACCGCTCGGCGGCCGCCGCGCACCCGCCGCCTCCTGCCAATCACAGCGGCACCCGCCGCCGCCCGCCAATCGGTGCCGCCGGGGCGCGCACCCGACGGCGAGACTGACCAATGGGAGCGCGGGGAGCCGCGCCGCCCGCCCCGCCTCCCCGCGGAGCCGGCTGTCAATCACGGGGGCCCATTGCGCCGCGGCAGGGCCACGCCCCCGTCCTTCAGGAGGCGGGACAGCGCAAACCACGCCCCTTCGTGCTGTCAATCAGGTTGAGTGACGTCGGCGCGGCCCCGCCCCGAGCTGGCAGCGGGGCCGGGTCCAGTAAAAAGAATAGAAAGGAAAAATGGAATTTTTGCCCATTCTGTACCTGCAGTAAAGCACCTCCGGGAATCCTGCCACAGGGTTAATGAGAAGAAATGCCCCCTTCAAATGAACTAATGAATTATAATTAAAAAATCCTGCTAGATTGCATGATTGCAGGTCTGATGCAACTGCTGGGTAACTCCGTTCACACACCACCATGTGCTACTGTCATCACCCAGTCTAACCCAGGAATTCCACTGAATCAGGAATGCATTGGGTTGGAAGGGACCTTAAAGATCATCTCATCCTCCTTGTGTTTAAATCAAATTATACCTTTTAAACAACACCCAGCCTGCTCTTTCCCAGCGTGTGTCCATCACATCTGCAGGACGGCATTTCCATGGTGTGTTTTCCAGCAAAGAACCGGCAGAAGGGGTTTGTTGTTTTGGAAAGGAGCCCAGCCCTGACTCCCCGTGGTGGCCAAGGCTGCCCTGCAGCTGGGAACCCCACCTGGAGCAGATGTTCCAGCTGCTGCTTCTCCATCTGCCCAGTGTCTGGGAGTGGCTTTGCTCACAAACAGCACGGCAGCAATGTCAGAGGGGTCAGGGAACCTGGATAAGACACATGGAGAAGAAAACTAGACTGGAAAGGGAAATTGCTCAAAGGTGTGAACAAGTGCAGGAATCAACCCACCCATCAGGAGGAATTTGGGACTTAGTCAAAACATGACAACATTATCTGTAACATAATTTATTTTTATTTTTTTAACTGTCGAGGTAATAAAAAACTCTCAGAGTGTCATACCAGGTCGACACAGAAATAGGAAAAGGGATCCACAGACCCAGCCACTTCCTTCTTAATACAAGTCTTGTATTTGTGGTATCAAGCTGGTAGCTTTTTGTCCCTGCTCCAATTTGAATTCCTCTCTCATTTGACAGCATCACTATTGATCTTGGAACCACTTTTTGACATGCTTTTTCACAGCTTCATGATGGTTTATCACTATCCTTTACCAACCACTACATCTCAGTTTCCTTTCCTCACTAATTTCCAATAAAATACTCCACAGATTTCTCCTTGTCCATAAATTCACATCCTTGCACTCTCTGCTGCTACATTTAATCTCCTCTCTATTTCTCACACTTCAGTCATCCAATCTCCAAGACACTCCAGTTCCCTCATATTATCAAAGCCTCCCACTTTGGTTCATCGCCAAATTTGATTTTAATGCTTGCTCTTAGTGCCAGGATCATTATAAAAAAGCTTTCCTAAGAGAGGTAAAATCCCACCCCATGCCCTGGGAGGCAGAAATTCAGTATCAATTCCCCACTGCACCAGCCCTGATTTCAAACCACTCCATTTGCTATTTTTGCCTATCTTGTCCTGCTAAACGAGACTGATTCCATGTCCTTTGTGCAGAAACTTGCTTTGCTGAGTCCAAAAGATATTAGAGCAGCGAGTGGCAGCTTGTGACAGGAGGCAGCAGCTCCTGGCAGATGGCAGGGACACCCACCCTGGTGGAACTCACTCTTCCCATCTCCCACTGCCCGGCGTGTCTGGATTCCACTGAAGCTTCCCTGCACCTTTTACCAGATTGAAAATAGAATGATTTGTCCTTAACAGCTCATCACTTCACCCACCTGTCAAGCCTAATGTGTAAACCAACAGATTTATCTCTTGGTTTGTGGTTTCCCCATTTTACAGACATTCTCACATCACTATCTACATGCAAGTGCCATCAGGACTTTTTTTTTTGGACCACTATAGACCCTCACACTTTTTTTTTTTTGTCCCTGACAAGCTGGTAAATCCTTCCTGAACTAGAATCCAACTTTCTACCAAAAGAAGTGCCCTTTTTTGTGTAATTTGAGAAAAATTAATAATTCCTTTCTGACTTTTACTGTGTACTTAATGCTGTGCTGGAATCACAGAATCCCAGAAGGGTTTGGGTTGAAGGAGACTTCAAACCCCATCCAGTGCCACCCCTGCCATGGCAGGGACACTTTCCACTGTCCCAGGCTGCTCCAAAGCCTGTCCAGCCTGGCCTTGGGCACTGCCAGGGATCCAGGGCCTGCCCACCCTGCCAGAGAGGAAATATCCCATCAAATCCTTCACTCTATCAGTCTGAACCCAGTTCTCCTTGCCCTGCCATGACAGTTCCTGAAGAGGATCAGGTTATTTACTTTATATTCCATGGTTTTCCACCCTGATTGTCCACATCCTTCCAAAGCTTCACTCCTGTAAACAGCAACTGCAGAACAGGCTTAATTCTTGAATTTATTCATTTAATGTAAAATCATCAGTAAAGATATTCACAGAGACTCTCCAGGAGCTCCTCTGTTTCCAGTCAGCCCATTTGTATTAAAGGAACTTTATAAGGCTTAATTCTTTAACGCTGTCATGCAGCATCAGCTGAGGAAAGGAAGTGTAATCCCTATTTTAGGGACTTAAGGGCATTGCACAGAGAGACAGTGGCTTGTTAGGAGTTACACAGGAAGTCTGGAGTAGACCTTTGGGATTTAGCTCTTGGCACCTTTTCCTAGTGTCTTAATCACTATGCCATCATCTTATTTTCTATTTTGGTAGTATTTCCATTTTCTGAAGCATACCTGACTCAAAGAGCCCCTTTTCCTTGCTATCAGATGTACTATTTCTTCTTTTCTTCCTGCTTCCCTTCTTGTTTGGGTAGACACATCCTTCCTGGGGAGCAGAGCAGGCTCCAGGCTGAGCCTTGTCCCATGCCAAACCTTCCTTATTCTACATCTTGGACTCCAGAGCCACAGCAGGGAGTGAGGAGGAGAAACCCTGTAAACAGAACCGGAGAATCCTTGAATGCTTTGGGTTGGAAGGACCTTAAATCCCATCCATGCCACCCCTGCCATGGCAGGGACGCCTCTCACTGTCCCAGGGTGCTCCAAGCTCCATCAAGCCTGGCCTGACATTGCCAGGGATGGGGTATGTGATCTTCAAGTGATGCATGAAAGGTTCTGCACTGTCTTCAAAGGATGTAATCTCATTAATCCCAGGCAGTTCTGCCTCTCCTAAAAATTCCTTGTGGTGCTCTCAGCTTTGAAAACAAAAATAATGGAACACTGTCATCACTTTCCAACTCTAGGACAGCGTGGCAGGATAAATATGGGCCCAAACGCATCTCTCCCCCAGCAGAGACGTGAATAATGGGAAACTCCTGTAAAACACACCTGCAGCAGCCTTTCCCAGCCGGGAGGAGCAGGTGGGCACCTGTACCTGTCCTGCGGCCCAGGGCTGGGCCTGGCTGCCAGCAGCATTCCAGCAGAGGGGGCTCTGAAGCTGCTGAAAAGCCAGAAGCTGTTCTGCCTTTGGAATGGCAGAATTAGAGAAGGAAGGGGAGGAAGAACGTTAAAAATATGATATGCTTTTAGATCCTTACTTCCTCTGAGCTGACAGTCTGGACTGTTTCTAAAACAGCACGAATGAAAAAGCTGAAAATGAAATGCTTCTTCCAGTCACAGCCCCAGAATAATCTCAGAGGTCACTTTTTCTCTACAGCCATTGCTGTGCATTGTGTTACCACAGAGGGTTTCTTTCAAGTATTTTTGAGCCCTTTACTGATTGATGATTAATTTTTCATTCACAGCTGGTATCAGAGCAGGGACTCTCCCATGGTCACAGAGCAAACCAGCTGTGCCAGATGTTGGCTGGCCCATAATATTTACAAAAGGCAGAACCTCTCTCATCTTTTTTTCCACCTACATTCCTCTTGTTTTGCTACACTGACAGGCAACTTGCTTCATCCATTGCCCACCACTCCACCACTTTTTGCACTGCCCCAATTTGCACAAGCTGCCTCCTTCCACCATAGTGGCAGCTGAGAAAGTTTCTCTGGAGTGTTCCAAAGCACGAATCCAGGGACAAAAATAAACTGTGAGGATGCAAATGCATTTCTAGGGTGAAAGACAAACAATTCTTAGAAAGAAAGTATTTTTTTTCTGAGCAGGAGTTGCTAACACAAAGTCCATATATAGCTTAAAAATCACTGCTGCATCTTTGCAGGCAACTCTTTCCACTGTGGTCATGAAGCTTAATAAGCTTTTATTTCAAAGCCAGTACACAAAGAATTAGAAAAAAATCCAAGGGTTTAGTTGAACTAGATTGAATCTAAATACTTAGGGAAGTCATCAGTCCTGCTTGCCAAGGCCCAAGGTACAAATTTCCAAGCTCTGCCACACTGTTCTCCTCTTGGCCCCAATTCCAGACACGACAGCAGTGACTGAGAGTGGAAAAAACCCTTTAAGAGAGGTCACCCTGCCCAGGAGAGACTTAAAGCTACAGAAGTGCCCAATTGCTTTGTTTACACTTTGCCTATATCCAAAATCCCTCAGAGACTAATTATTTGAACTCTGAAAAAAAAAATCCCTCTTCCCCTCATCTTGAAAACAAAACCACACAGCAGATAATTCCCATTTTTTTGTGCAGGGAACAAACAAATGTTGGAAAACATGAGCAGAAACAACATTGGGATACACAGACCCT